ATGGATTGCCCAGATCAGACACACCCGTGGCCATATACGTGCGAGATGGCCTTGCTTGGCGATAGATGTGGGATGGCCCAGCCCACTGTTGGCTGCACCAACGTTAGGCAGATAAGCTGAGGCTGTTTAAGAAGGCGAGGTGAGCATGAGCCGGTTGAGTGGGCCAGAGAGCAAGTGATAGGGATATAGAGGCCACAACCTCAAGTCAGCCTGAGGCTGGCACAGGGATATCTGGAGTGAAGAGGGCATAGTGTTCTAACCCGATAAGTCAGGGTATTTGCCACTAACACTCAGAGCCCTCCTTTCCGGTCCAGGAGCAAGGGGAGGGTATGCCAACTAGCCAAGATCTCAGGAATCAAAGAGCCTGACCTACAGAAAGGAGTAAGACGCCACTGCCCTCTGGTGGTCACTGTGCAGAACTGCACCAGGGCTTCTCGGACATTTATTGAGAAATTTACTAAGGACCACGTAAAAAGCCAAGTGGCAGACATGTACCTATAGCAGCGGGGAAAAAAAATCTACATCATGATAAAATTATCATTGTTGTGATATAACCAAGGACACTGGTAGACTTTACACTTTAAAATAACATTGAGACTATAAAAGATTATAGGAACTTTTGAAGTTGGAATAAATGCATTTTGCATTATGATATGGCCACAAGATGATGGAGTAAAATGTGGTGGTTTGGATGAAATGTCTCCCCTAGTCCAAGCCTTTGAACACTTAGTTACCAGTTGGTGGCTACTTGAAGAAGCTAAGGAAATGTGGCTTTGCTGGGGAAACTGTTACCAGAAGTGGCGTTGAAGTTTCAAAAGACTAGTGCCCTTCTAAGCTTGCGCTCTCTGCCTCCTGCTTGTGCCTCAGCTTCTGCCCCAGCCATCATGCTTACTTGTTGCCACACTTTCCTGCTGAGATGGTGATGGAATTTTATCCCTCTGGAACCGTAAGCCCCAAATAACCCTGCTATGAAGTTGCTTTTGTTGTTTTATTTTGCTTTGCAGCTTGGGTTTCTACTTCCTTTAATGTGCAACCAGGTTTGTTTAGTTCAAAATTGAACAGACTCAACTTCAACTGGTTAGATAACAAAGATAGTGGCCCATATCTCCTGGACTAAATTCTAAGATATATTATGATCTACATATAATCAAATGAAATAAAATTTCAGTGGGACCTTCCATTCCCTCAAAATCAGTTGTTTCTTTTAGTAAAAGGCTCCTGTTCTCCTTAGCAACCCCAGTCACCCAACCAACATTGATAAGGATATTGGGCCGAACTACAAGAGCCCTATTTAGAGAAGAAGCTCTGACAGGGAATCCCACTTCCCTCTTCACAGGTCTTTATTTTAGTCCCTCTGTAACATCAAGAATAATAGCCATGTCCTGAACATTGCCTGTGGAGAGCTGCTGGTTTGTCAGGCTGCTTTGTTATTGAGCTCTCAGTGGAAAAGCATGTTTTCACCTTGGCCTTCACCTGGAGTCAGGGATAAGCAGGATGTTTTGCCAAATTCACCTCCTTTTGTTTGTGTGAGGATGACACAGACAGGTGGTCGAGGTAAACAAGTCTGACTTCTCCATGAACTCCTTCATTGGACTGAAGTGCTTTGCTCTGACTATGAAAAGGGATTATTGGAATAAACCGGTGAGACTAGTTTCTTTTGGAAGCCCTCTCAGACAGATCCCATGGGTAGTGTGTTGGTTTATTAATTTTCTTTCAAGCCTCACTCCCAACTCAAGAACTGTTCGACTCTGCCGGTGGGCTGCAGCAATTGCCTTCACACAGATTTAGGTTGCTACCAAAGGAAGAGCACACATCCCATGTCAAAGACTTGACATTGTTAATCTATTAGTAGGGGACTACGAATGAGTGGTCATGATGAGCCATCTCTGACTCAGAGTGAGACCACTGCCTCAAGGTCAGATTGTTGCTGACTACAATAACCCCAAATCTATTTGTTCCGGGGCACTGTGACAGTGAAACACTGCTTGATTGCACATAGAGAAGCCCCTATTTAAAACAACAGCAACCTTTAGAATGCCCCTGTGCAAGCCAGGTGATGCACATTTACGATGTCAACACCTCTGAGGTAGAGGCAGAAGCACCATGAGTTCAAGGCCAGTTCCTATCTGCATTACACATCTAAGACTAGCTACATGAGAGCCTCGCTCAGCTCACGCCCTATTAAAAGAGGGTAATGGAAGAGTTCACAGGGCACATCCGGAGGACTACTAGAGTTGAGAAGGAAATTTGGGGAATATGGGAGAATTGAAAGCAATTAAAATAATAGTTGAGGGAAGGAGAACACAAAAAGCAGTAATGAGAAGAAAGATCCCAGGATTTAGTCTTAAGTAACACTAGCATTTCATGAGCAGGGAAAGGGAAAGAGAGACAGTTCCGCTGCAGGATTAGGAAATGCCTGTCACTGTAGTTAATGCATACAGTAGATTCTTAGCAGTAGGGACACCGAGTAAGAATTAAGAATATTCCCTTACACTAGTTCTGTGAGACCAAAACAGGAGCAAATACAAGTTAGTGGGAGACAAAAAGAGGAAGATATACTGTCTTAGTTAGGGTTTCCATTGCTGTGAAGAAACACCATGACCACGGGAACTCTTATAAAACAAAACGTTTAATTGGGTCTGACTTACAGTTTCAGAGGTTTAGTCCATTATCATCATGGCGGAAAACATGGAAACATGCAGGCAGACAGGCTTGGTGCTGGAGAAGGAGCTGAGAATTCTACAACTAGATCCACAGGCAGGAGAAGGGGACCGTGGCTCACACTGGGCATAGCTTGAGCATATGCAACCTCAAAGCCTGCCCCACAGTGACACACTTCCTCCACCAAGGCCACACCTCCTAATAGTGGCAGTCACTATGGCCGAGCATTCAAACACATGATTCTATGGGGTCATTCCTATTAATACCTCCACATAGACCTTACTAATTGAAATAGCAGAATGTGGGATGAGCTAATGGCAAGACGGAAATTATATATAAATAAGTGCAGGCTTAGTGGAAGCAGCTCTCGGCTGCCATGCAGGGGGAGGGACAAAAAGAGGAGAAGAGAGAGAAAGAAGGAGAAGAAGAGGAGGAGAGATAAAGGGAGAGAGAGAGGAGAACAGAGGAGAAAGAGGGAGAGAGGGAGGGAAGGAGAAAAGGAGAGAGGGTGGAGGGAGAAGGAGGGAAAAAAGAAGGCAGTTAGGGAGAGAGAGAAAGAGAAAGGGAGAGAGAGAGAAAAACCAAATGATCTGGGTTATATAGTGAAAGGCCTCTGGGAGAGGGGAAGCCCTGCCCCTGGGCTAGGGAATTCAGGGTAGAGGAAAAGGTATGGCTGCCAAGCCCTGCAGCAGGTAGGTACCTGAAGCAAAAAACTTGCAGGTTAAGAGTTCTGTTTGCAGTGAAGACAGTTAAAAAGAAGCTCCTGTCCTGTGTGAAGTCCTGGCATGTTAAAACTTCTAACTGCAATTAAGAAGTTCCTGTTTGTCCTGTGTTAAATCCTAGTTAAAGACTAAGTTCTTGTTTGTCCCATGTTAAGTCCTTGCTAAATGAGGTTTCTATTTGGAATTAAGAGTAGGTTTCTGGTTTTTAGGTATGATGTAAACTGCAATCCCATTCACTTGCTGTGTATCCTTGTCTCTGTTCTTTCTCTTTTCATTGTATGCACTTAACGATGTGTAACAACTAACTCTCTTGCCCCTGCGAACACCTTATCTCTCTCCTATAAGAGGGTCTTCAAGACTCCATTTAGGACCTCACTCTCAAATCCCAATTTAGGGGGAGGTAGCTGACTGGCCATTGTCAGGTGCACCCCAAAATATAAGTTGCTTTAATTGGACAATTGTGGACTTAGTTTTTTTGCCTCGAGAATCTCAGAGAATCTCAGGTGTGTGTGTGTGTGTGTGTGTGTCTGTGTGTAGTTTCATATGCACACACATACAGACATGCTCTGTATTACTCTGTTTTCTGTTGCTATATATGATGTTGGTCTCATGAGATTATTACGGAAAGATTTTCTACCACTTAATTATGTAGCCTTTATAAAATTTTAGCACAGTATTCATATTTCTGTGACAAGCAAACCTTTGTGTTTCTAGTCATACAAATGTATAGCATGTACAATCACACCATGTTCTGTTTAGATAAGGAAATAACACATTTCTCAGAAATGTATGCCTGTCGTTATGCAAAGCATGACTGTATTCGGTCCTTATCTTGCTCTGAGCACACTATATAAGAAACAGAGACGAACACGTTTGTGTCCGAATTTATTGAGTAACAATACACTTGCAAGAGACAGCAGTTTTATTGGCAGCCACTTGCCAAGAAATCCAAGTTTCCTTGATAGCCAGGTGAGGCCAACACAAGTTCTTGTATATCAGACTCTGTGTATGTGTGGGGGGGGGTGCTCAGAGCAGAGGTCAGTACAGGTATCTTACTCTATCATTTTCCATCTATCTATCTATCTATCTATCTATCTATCTATCTATCTATCTATCTATCTATCTATCTACTTTTTCCCGTAACACTCTGAGTCTAAATCAATATATAATTATTTTCACAGCTCACTGTCTACTCTTTATCCCACTAAAAAGCACTGCATTCTAAGTGATGTTCCCTTTTGATCTGTGATTTATTTCAAAAGCCTTACAACGAAATACCATTTGTTCAAGGAGTTAGTTGTGAAATGGGAGAAATGGATCTGTTTCCGGTAGCTGTCGGCTGACCTCACCCCATTCACACAAATGCAATTACAATGCATTCCACATCTGAGACTCCACGGAGCTGGTGAACCCGGAGCCTTTTGCGGGTATTGCGGGGGAGTGGAGAGGAGTATCTCTACTGCAGCTGCGCGCCAAAGGGGCAAATCCGGTCAACTTCAAATCCCAGAATCCCTGGGTCCCGGAGTGAACTACATCTCCCATAGCCCTCTGCGTCAGCCGTCCTAAGGCAAACCCCAGCCCTCCCAACCCCGCCCCCTTACCCCGCGGCCCCCTTGAGCTTACAGCGGGCCCCGGGGCGTCTGTGGCCGGTTTTGCTACTCCGGGTTAGCTGCCCGGGCTGAATCTCCACGCGCGGTTGCTCTGAGCCTTCATGAGGCGTGTCGGGAGCTGGGGGGAGGTGAGCGGCCCGGCCAGGCTGGAGGACGCGGAGGCCTGTGGCGATCCCAGCGTGGGCCGCCCTGAGCCACTGGTTCGTCCTTTTGGAGTTTTCTCTGGGGATCTGGAAATTGACCCCTTGACAGCAGCAGAGATTTGGGTGGGCGGCACGAGGAGTGGAGTAACAGCGTCCTGGGCCCGTTGTCAGATCCCAGCGGTTGGAAACGCGCGCGTCCCCGCTGTGGCCGCACTCCAGCCTCAGTTTCCTGAGCTGAAGCTGGCAGTGCCAGCTGAGCTATGGTGAACAGCATAGGGTGATGCCTGGAACACGGGGGCTCAGTGAGTCCCCTCTGTGATGGAGTCTAGTGTCGCCTGAGTCTTGTTTCTGGAAAACCAGAGACAAGAGGAATGGTGACTTGATTCTCAGATGCCTGTGCCCAGCTCCCGCTTCCCCCTCTGGAGGCAGAAGAGCGGGCTCAGCTGAAGGGACGCTTTCAGAGACAGAGCTTCTGAGGGGTGCAAAGCAATCCTGCTTTTTTTCTTCTCTCAGATCACATTTTTGGAGACTGTACCCATCCTTGAGAAAATCCCAGAAAAAGAACATGGCTCCAGAGCAAAGGGAAGGGGAGTCTCAGGTGAGCGCATTGCCATCTCAGTTCTTAGTAGAAAGTGGGTTTTGCTTGGTTTTGTTTTTCCTTCATGACCGAAGTTCTCCTTTACCAGGATTTGGTGCCCACAGAAGATGGTCCTTCCTCCTGAGCGGTTGTGTAGGAAGCACAGGCCATTCTCCCAGTGCCTAGCGTTGCTGTTTGCTGCCCCCAGGCTGTTGTGCTTACTAAATTGATAGTGCCAAGCAGGTGCCCTTTTATCACTTAGGGACGCACCTGGAAAAAGTCCTTTCTGGCCTGCTTCCTTCCTTCATGTATGCTTCTCTCACTCCTCACCAAGATTTCTCATCTCTTTCTTTTTGCCACTGAGAATGTTGTGATGCAGTGCGCCCCCCCCCCCCCCCCGCTTCCCCCCACCCCAGCCTTCAGTTTTTCTCCCTTTACTCTGTGGATCCTGGGTTTTGATTGTACCATCCTTGTGAAAAGCTAATCTCAACCTGCCATTTCAAGGTGCAGGAGTATAGAGATGCCCCCATCTAGGTGGGATGCCACATGGACAAAGGAAAGCCACACCGAAGGGGACACAGTTGACTCTGAAAACACAGACAACCTCTCCAGAAGCCATGAAGATGGTTTCATGGGATCTTTGGCAGAAAATCAGTAGGCACGGTGGCCAGGAAATGGGATAATCAAGACAGCCAAATTCTAACCCATCCCCTCTGTTACCATTCGCGGGCCCTGTACAAATCTAACTTTCTGTGGCTTCGTTTCCTCAGCAGTAAAATTAAAAATGACAACCCTGTCCCCTTGTAAGATAGGTCAGAGGAGGACACGGTTCGTGAAAGTGTTTAGAGCTAACCAGGCACATAGTGATGGCTCAGCCTGTGGTTACCATGGCCCAGATAACACTATATTAAGGATACAGGTTGTCTTTGGACCCATAAGGGGCTGGGGCTTGGACAGCTCCATTTCCTTAGACCCTTACATTCCATCCAAGAGAGTCAAGTTGTGTTCATGCCCTGAACCTTCAACCTTGTGTGTGTGTGTGTGTGTGTGTGTGTGTGTGTGTGTGTGAACCCTCTCCTTTATCTCCCTTATCTACTCTCCAATTGTCAATACCATAGTTTAAAAGAAAAAAAAGCCTCAGTGTCCAGGAGTTTAAGACTAAGGAAAGAACCCAGGAGGTTCGGGGCTCACAGTGGAAATCTTCAGTTTTGGTGCTGCTGTCAGTGGTAAAGCTTGTGACACTGGGTGTCAGCAGCTCCTGACCTCACATTCTAGCCTACCAGTCTAGCCACACAGCTTTTTTTTTTTTGCATTGTTGAAATGATTTTATGCATGTTCCTGTGTACCAAACAGATCAGAAATTCTTTAAAAGCAAGATTATCTTTTGTATTCTCTCCTTAGTAAATCATTTTTCCTGTATAGGCATTGCATACATGTGAAAATTAAGAGTAAAGAACCTTGCTGGGCATGGTGGTGCACGCATTTAATTCCAGTACTAGGGAGGCAGAGGCAGGCAGAGATCTCTTTGAGCTTGGGGCTAGCCTCGTCCACCATATCAAGTTCCAGGCCATGTAGTCCAGGCTACATAGACTATCTCAAAAACAAAGAACCTTTACCAGAAAGATTTCCAGTTACCAAGATGCGCATCATTGGCCGATATCCCTGTACACAAAGCCAGGCCCTACCCACTGCTGCTCTTTGTGTATCTGTCAAGGGTTGGTCATTAAATGGACAGCCTAGCCTCTTTAGAACCTGCAGTAACTTCATTTGTGATTCCCTGTCTACCTTCCACACTATCACCTCCCTCATGCCATATGATGCTGGTCCTGGGTGAGATGAAATGGCTTTTCCTCGCAGGTATCAGTGACATTTGAAGACGTGGCTGTGCTCTTTACTCGGGATGAGTGGAAGAAGCTGGATCCCTCTCAGAGGAGCCTGTACCGAGAGGTGATGCTGGAGAACTACAACAACCTGGCCTCGCTGGGTGAGGAGACGCCCTGTGGGCAGATTCAGAAACAAGACCTCAGCACCTCCTTCCCTAAAGGGAAGCTGTGGTCGCCAAAAAACCCTAGCTGGGTTTGGCTGTAGGACTGTACAGATAAGATCTCTATAAATATTGAAACCGTTTTCCACTTCTGGGTGTTTAAGTCCCCCAAACAGAAGAACAGAGGGTCCTTTGATAGACAGAACACAGATGCTCCATCTGTAACTTGGCAGTAAAAATGCCTTCAGCGTTGAAGCTGCATTTTCATGTTATATTTGTCTGTGTTGCCTGTGACAAAGACCTCCCTCAACCCTCCTATCCATTTCTTGCCTTTGCCACTTCTCTTTTGCACTCAGGTAAATGCTGTATACTGTTTCCTCTAAAATAAATCAAATAATATGTTCCTGCTTTAAATAGGTTGCTTGACACCTAATCTTTTTCACAAATACCTGCTTGTAAGATTTTATTCTGTCACTCAACAGTCCTTTTCTACGATGCTAAGGCTGCCTGTTTATCCTATTTCCATAATGTACAATCAGTTTGACCAGTCATGTCCTGTGAGCCACTGAGCCTCTGCTTAACGCGTCCTGTCACATGACAGGGAACAGTTCAAGTATCCAGTAGAAGTGTTCCGGCCCCTCCTCTGAGTCTCCCACACAGATATGCAATGTGTGTGCATGTTGAAACAAAACTAAGTTTTTTTTTTTTTTTTTTTTTTTTTACTGTTTTTTTGTTAATTTTGTTTGTGATCAGGATTTCCATTTGCCAAACCAAAGATGATCTCCGTGTTGCAGCAAGGAGAAGAACCCTGGAAAGTAGAGAAAAGTCATGGATGCCCCTCCCTTGGTGAGTGGGTGGACCTGAGACACCCCGGATACCTCTGCAAAATAAGAACGAGGGTAGCCTCAGTGACTAGGGACTGACCTGGACCAACAGGCCGTTCTTCAGTGACAGGGGTCCTAAGTGGGGGCCCAGGGAATGAGAGGATAAAGAAGCTAGGAAAGTTGGGCTCAGGAAATGGCTTATGCCAAGCAAGTTTGTTAAGAAGAACAGCGTCTTCTATACTCTTTGCGGGAGGGGGGAGGGGGCAGAGCCAGTGGAAAGCTATCATACAGTGGCACGGCGTCAGCAGGGAGCTAATCAAGCAGTGCTGCACAAGGGGAACACAGGACATATCAAGAGTGTCACAGCTGGAGTGCAGAGCAGCCTTGGGACTGATAGCCAGAGCCCCGTGGGGTCAGAAGAGTTGGCTTCTCAGGATCTGAAGACTAAGCTCTGCCAAAGCCCTAGCCTATAACAGGACTTTCTTAAGAATGCCAGCTCCCAGGTAATGACGTGGAGGCTTTTTATTAATTATGAAAGCTTGGCCTTACCTTAGGCTTATTCCCAACCAGCTCTTATACCCTAAATTGACCTCTTTTTAATAATCTAGGATCCACCACATGGCTCTTTACCTGTCTCAGTCCTGGCAGTGTTTCTTCTTTCGCATCTGTTGGGAGAAATACAGTAATTCTGTGGACACTACCAAGGCAATTTACAGAGGAAATAGTTTATTTGGGGCTTACAGTTTCAGAGGGTTAGGGTAGGTCCTTGATGGTAAACAGAAGGCAGGCACCTGGAGCAACAGCTGAGAGCTCTGACCTGTTTAAGGAGAGCACTGGGAGTGGAAGGCGGCTCCTGAAGCCTCACAGCCAGCCAGTGACACGCCTCAAATGCACACCTCCTAATCCTCCTGTCAGGGTCCAGATACACTGAAAGAATGATCCCACACTTAAGTCGCATGCAAGCAACAGAGGGCGTTTATTCCTGCAGAAGTCCAGCATGCTGGGCTCACCACATGGCAGCAGCCCCAAGCGGAGCTCAAAGGTCCCTTTTAAAGCCAGAAGGGGAATTCCTACTATGGCTGCGTAATCTAAATTGGGATTGGCTATGCCCATGGAGTCTACGTGACTGGTCGGAACTTAGGGGCTTCTCAAATCGGTAGTAAAGCAACCCTATCTTCTCCAGGCCAGATGTCTTAGCTCTTTCTGATTGGTTGCCCTTTTTCTGTGTTTCTTTCCTGTAACTCTTAGGCCTGTTTTGTCTAGCAAGAAAATGAAGGCCGCCATGGAGTTGGCCAGGCTCTCTCACTCCCCCAGTAGCCACCAGCTTCCTGTTCACCTCCTGTTTTTCACTTTAAGAGTCCTAGTCACACCCCCAGGTTTTCTCCACTTGCTTCTTCCTTCTTCAGATGGTCATGTACCTGCATGGCTTGCACGCCTGTGTTGGATAAGCTTCTTCATTAAGTAGCCTCAGCCAATCTTAACTGCCTGCTAGACTTTTTTCTACTTTTTTCTTGAGGGGCAGTGGTGGAAGTTGTTTGTTTCGAGTTAGAGTCTCGCGTAGCCTGGCTGGCTTTGAACTCCTTTGCCTCCTGCCACTACTTCCCAAGAGCTGGGGTTACAGGTCTGTGTCACTATGCCTGGGAACATCCTCCTGTCAGTCTATAATCACTGCATGATGGTAGGTTTTTATTTAAGATCTACCTCTTCCTCTGTCTTGCAAGCTCCCTGTGTGGCAGTTGATTGTAAGTCATAACTGTTTTCCTAAGGCCTGAAACTGGCTGGCCGAGGTAGGCTCCCTGTAGTTACATAGATGCAGGAGGGATTTATCCCAGAGCTTTGTGGGAGATTTGAAGAGCATCAGGTCACGGAAGATGAAGGAGGTGGGGTTGAAGGGCTATGATAGGTGGTGCTGGCCCCTGGGAGGCTGTACAATTTCCATTGCTATGATATGCTCATCATTGTCATGTCATTGTCCGTAGTTTCCTTTAGCTCTTTGAACTTTTGCTTGTTTGTTTGTTTGTTTGTTTGTTTGTTTGAGACAGGGTTTCTCTGTGTAGCTTTGGCTGTCCTAGACTCACTTTGTAGACCAGGCTGGCTTTGAACTCACACAGTTCACCTGCCTCTGCTTACCTGAGTGTTGGGATTACAGGCGTGCACCACTGTACCCAGATGCTCTTTGAATTTTTTATGACAGTTATTTTAAAGTCAGTTTGCCATGCCACTGGTCTTAGAGGAAAGATGTTTAACTTATCTTGTTCTTTTGATATCATGTTTTGTTTAGCTTTTTGTAGTGCTGAAGAGTCAGGCCTTGCACTTGCTACGCAGGTGCTCTAGCGCTGAGCTGCCCTTCCAGCCACAGCCCTTCCTATTTTCCTGTTGTCTTCTGCGTTTTGATGTTTTTTAATTATTTTCATTTTTATGTGTGTGGAAGTTCTGCCTGCAAAGATGTCTGTGTGGCACATGGGTGCAGTGTTCACAAAGGCCAGAGTGGAATGTTAGGTCCCCAGGATTGGGGTTACAGTTGCTGTAAGTCCTCTGTGTGGGTATTGAATCCAGAACCTCTGGAAGAGGTTAGCCAGTGCTCCTAACCCCTGAGTCATCTCTCCAGACCCCTGACTTGTCTTTTTTATTATTATTATTATTATTATTAAAATGTAAGCATCTGAATCTTCCTCTTCCCAGAGTCCGTTGGAGTTACGGGTTATTCCGTGCCAGTAATCCAACTGAGGCATAAACTGAAGACCGCCTCATCTCTTTTCTCAGCTAAAGAAGTGTCTCTCCTTTAGCACGTCATGACATTCTAAATCTCCTTCGACTCCCATGCTAGGGAGGTTGTTTTTTGAGTGTTTTGAGCCTTAAGTGTCTGGCTCTGAGAAATGGGGAAGGAGCAAGTAAAGGGTGGAAGAACACTGTCCTTAAGTCGTTGGGTATCCACTTCTGCCAGTGGGTTCCTGCCTTTGTAGCTGGTCCTTGCCCCATGGTTCTCAGGGCTGCTGCAGGAATGCTAGGAGGTTGCTCCTTGGAGCTGGCTGCTGAACAATGACTAGCTGCTGCTGAATGAAATGTTCTTCAGTTCCTGTGGAAGCTGCCTAGACTCCAGTTTCAGAATACTTCTAATGGACAGATTTCGCAGGCATATTAGTTGTCTAGGTAGGGAAACAGAATCCTGGCACTTCACACCATTACTTGTGCCATATTCATGACATCCACATTTTCTCTTCCACCTCACATTTGTTTTACAGTTTTGGCATTCTCTGCCTTCACATGATGTCGAGGATGAGGTCTCGCATGAAGTGATTCCTCTGTTTGGGGAAGAAATTGTGAGATATTATGATATTCACTCCACATTGTATTCTCTATCCACACACGAGTCACTGGCTCATAAACTTCTTTATTAACGTATCAGAGATAATTAGGGAGCAATGTTTATACAACATTGATACCAGGAGATTCTTCAGTGATCACGACAATGCCCATGTTTGGCCTATAACCAGATCTTGGGGCACAGAAATCAGCATCTGAATATACAATACAAAAATCCTCCAACCATCACCTGCTACTAAGAATTCTGAAAATATCCTGACTTTATTAACTGACATTTTCACAACATTGGTTTGTTATATCCAAGAGTGGCAGAGGATTTCTTGTATAGGTTTTTCAGAATACGTCTGTGTGTCAGTTCTATGTATGCTTCACTGAATGGGTTTTAATACAGGCAGTTTTTTAACTTCTAATTTATTTGTCTGATTACAATAATTAATATCTCTTTAAAGATGAGTAGTAGGGAAAATGGTTACTTAGCTCATTCTTTTTTTGTCTTTTTTTTTTCTTGCTTGTTTTTCAAGACAGGGTTTCTCTGTATAGCTTTGGCTGTTCGAGACTCACTTTGTAGACTAGGCTGGCCTTGAACTCAGAGATCCACCTGCCTCTGCCTCCCTGAGTGCAGGGATTACGGGCATGCACCACCACAACCAGTAGCTTGTTCCTGATTGTAGTGGAAATACACCCAGAGTCTCTTCATTAAATAAAATATTGCTAAAATATTTGGATTTTACCATGTTGTAGAGGTATTCCTCAGGTCCTGTTTGTGCTTATTATCAGTGTGACACAGATTTTTATTGAACATTTTCTTGGCATCTCTAGATACATATTTTCCTATTAAATACATATACTGTACTTGTGTACCATATAGTAATATTTTAGTAAACTGTGAGCTGCATATACAATGGCGGCATCCTAAGTATAGTGAAGATGAAAATGAATTGCTACCTTGTGATATTACAGCTATAAGAAGTCACTAGAGGGGCCTGGAGCAGGTAAGAGTACTTGTTGCACTTGCAGAGAACTTGGCTATGTTTCCTAGCATGCCCATGTGGTTCACAGTCATCCCTAAAAGAGGTTCCGATGACCTCTTCTGACCTCTGCAGGCAATTATCATGCATTTGTTGTACAAACATACATACAGGTAAAACATACATAAATTAAAACAAGTAAATCTAATTTTAAAATTTAAAACAGTACAATGCAAGCTAGTCAAAGTGGTGATGTACTCCTTTAACCCCAGCACTCAGGAGCAGAAGCATGTGGATCCCTGTGAGTTTAAGGCCAGCCTGTCCTCCACACTGAGATCTGGGCCAGACAGGGCTATATAATGAGAATAAATAAAACCTAACAGAATGAATTATTCATGTGTTTAGAGCAATGCTGAGGTAAACTAACCTGTACTGCTAGAAGTATAAAAGTACAGTACTAGAATTATGTACAGAACATAGTATTTGATAATCACAGCATTACTGCTGGCTCATGAGCACTGGGCTTTGTGTTTTGTACTTTAATAGCTTGTATTAAAGTATGCCTGCACCGTTGGAAGAAGTGTTAGGGAGGCTATGTTATACCGGGTGTCTCATACATCTCAGGCTTACCGTACCTTCTGATTGCATCAAGACACATAGCACAGCGAGTGGTGGGCCTACACCATCTAGGTCTGTGTTACGCACCCTCTGTGAGCTTACCTGAAGACGGCCTCACCTACCATCACACTTCTCAGCGTACATCCCCCCATCATTTAGTAATGCTTTGTTATGTCTTGTAATAAGTGCTGTAATGAGAGGAGGGGTGTGGACTGTTAGACTCAGTCAGGAAAAGATGCAACAGAGGAGTTACTTGCATTGTACTGGAAAGCTGCTGAGGATTCCGACACGTAGGAAAGGGGAAGTTAAGTTCAAAATGAAAAAGGCTGGCTGGAGTACCTTAACGTAGGGGGCTATTTCCTCGTCTCCTGATTGACACTCTTCTAACCCCTTTCTCTTAACTCTCCCCTTACATGAGCTTACTTTATCCTTTGTTTACTCAGTTGATCAGCTCTCATCCACTGTTTTGTGGTGTTCATTTTCTGTTTTTCCTTCTTGCTAGTGTCTTTAGGCATGTAGTATTTACTTAGGTTTCACTAACATTCCTCCTACGGATTTCATCTGAGTTAATCACACCTATCACTGGCAATTTTTTTTCTTCCAGGATGTAAGAGCAGTCTTCAAACGACAAAATCAACTCAAACTAAAGAGTCTTCATTTCAGGGATTAAAGAGGGAACAACACAAAAGGGATGAGTCCTGGGACAGTTTTAAAAAACAGTACAAGAATGAGAGCTTGCAAATAATTTCAATCACCCATACAAAAATTCTTAATGTAGATAAAAGCCATAAGAATTTTGAGTTGGCCCAAACGTCAGCCTGAAGTCTATTGGTAAGCAAAAGATTGCTAGAGAAAAAACACAAAGAAATAGCCTCAAGGAAAATTCAGATTCACTCAGTCAACCAAAAATCAAGACAGCAGAAAAACGCTATAAATGTAGCACCTGTGAAAAAGCTTTCATGCACAACTCATCCCTTCGAAAACATCTGAAAAACCATACTGGAGAGAGATTATTTCAATGTAAAGAATGTTTGAAAGCTTTCAGCCAAAGTTCTGCTCTTATTCAACATCAAAGAACTCATACTGGAGAGAAACCATACATATGTAAAGAGTGTGGGAAAGCCTTCAGCCATAGTGCATCCCTTTGTAAACACCTAAGAACTCATACTTTAGAGAAATCCTATACATGCAAAGAATGTGGAAAATCATTTAGCAGAAGGTCTGGCCTTTTCTTGCATCAAAAAATCCATGCCCGAGAAAATCCTCATAAATACAACCCAGGTAGGAAGGCATCCACCTCCCTTCCAGGATGTCAGAGAACTCATTCCAGAAAGAAGACCTACTTGTGTAATGAGTGTGGCAATACCTTTAAGTCTAGCTCATCCCTTCGTTACCATCAGAGGATCCACACTGGAGAGAAACCTTTCAAATGTAGCGAGTGTGGCAGAGCCTTCAGTCAGAGTGCCTCGCTTATTCAACATGAGAGAATTCACACTGGAGAAAAGCCCTACAGATGTAATGAATGCGGAAAAGGCTTCACTTCCATCTCAAGACTCAACAGACACCGAATAATTCATACAGGAGAGAAATTGTATAACTGTAGTGAATGTGGCAAAGCCTTAAGTTCCCATTCAACCCTTATTATTCACGAAAGAATTCACACTGGAGAGAAACCATGCAAATGTAAAGTTTGTGGGAAAGCCTTCAGACAGAGCTCAGCTCTGATCCAGCATCAGAGAATGCATACTGGAGAAAGACCCTATAAATGTAACGAGTGTGGGAAAACTTTCAGGTGTAACTCATCCCTAAGTAACCATCAGCGGATTCATACTGGAGAGAAACCATATCGATGTCAGGAATGTGGGATGTCATTTGGCCAAAGTGCAGCTCTTATTCAGCACCAGAGGATTCACACAGGAGAGAAACCCTTTAAATGTAACACCTGTGGGAAGAGCTTTAGACAAAGCTCGTCGCTTATTGCACATCAGCGAATTCATACCGGGGAGAAACCCTATGAATGTAGTGCATGTGGGAAGCTCTTCAGCCAGAGGTCCTCCCTTACCAATCATTACAGAATTCATATTGAAGAGGACTCCTTGAACACAGATTTGCATCAGTAAAAAATTAACCAAAGTTCCTCACAGAATACATTCTTCACATTGACTTAATAAGTATAGTGAATGTGAGGAACCCTTTTAATTTAGTCCTATAAGATATTAAAATTGGAAGAAAACTTGGTCATATAATAATTAACAGAAAATTTTCAAATCTGTCAGTCACTTTTTAAGGTCAGCTACTACACTGTTGTAGACACTGACATTGGCCGTTTGTAAGGTAAAAGGAACACTTTTCTTTTGTCCACATTATATAATATATGCAATATATAAATGCTAGAAAATTCTGAGTTCAGGAGTGCTGGGTTCAGTAGCAAAAGGAATAGCAGCTATTAGTGTATTGACTGTGGCTTATATTTTAATAGTAAATAAAATATATGCATTTTTAAAGCAGCGAACCAAACGCAAAGACAAAACTACCTCACACTGTCTTTTCCTAAGCTGTTGTCAAATTGCATGGTTTTTATTTAAAAAAAAAAACTGTTCTCTTAAATATTTGTTCTTCGAATTTTCAAACTTCTCTACAAACATTTAATACACATATTTTAATTTTGTGCTGTGAATTATTTTCCTTCATTGCCTTCAATCATTAATTATGAAGCTATGTCCTGTAATGTTAAATACTTGTCTTAGTTACCTTAGAGCAAGACAGCTAGCTAAACTTGCCAAAATGAGCTGTGACAGCAATTAAGGAAGATACCTGACATCAACTACCCCCCTTCACATCATACACATGAACCCCCAAACACGCATGCCACACAGAAATATATAGGGCAAAATTCCATTCTCCAATGCTAGTATGTGGGCATAACTGAGTTTTACATATTTGCTTTATATAAGTAAGCTGGTTATTTTATGTATGCATGACACATATCTGCATACAAATATATTTCCTTTTAATACTATATTTGTAAATTCTTTGCATTCACAATCATGTTATCTAGAAATACCATTTTTTCTCATGTAATCATATTTTTCTTACAATTTTAGTTTTTCTCATCTGGTCACAGTGTCTTTCATTTATTTTTCTGCATAACATGGCACCATACAGTGAATATAAATGATAATACTTTAACATTTAACATACTAGCTTCAGTATGTGGATGCTTGTTCTGAAACTGAAACAAAAAGGGAGCAGCATTTTGTTGTATCCACTTTCTGCTTTGACTAAAAAAATGATAGTTTTCTCTTCACTGTTTTAAGAATAACATTGATTCCTCTTCACTGTGTTAAGAGTAACATTGTTCTCATTTCCACCACCACAGGGTCTTATTAGACCAGGTTGGCCTAGATGTCAACTATGCAGCAATCTTCCTGTCTTAGCCTCCTAAATGGTAGATTACAGGCGTGCACCATTGTACCCAGCAATTGTCCTAATTTTGATGGTTCATGGATGAAATAAATTCTTATTCACCATGCTATATAACGTGTGTGTTTGTAAGTCAAGTTTTTTCCACAATCACAAACCCAACTGAAGTGGCCAGGATTATTTTCTAGGAGTTTAGAGCAGGAAATTGCATTTATTTTGTGTTTATATGTGTTGTGCCTGTGTACACATATGTGCAGTGTCTGAGGAGATCAGAAGACACAGAACTGGAGTAACAATTTGTGAGCGGGTGCTGAGAACCAAATCCAGGTCCTCTGCAAGAGTAGCCAGGGCTCCTCATTGCTGAACCATTTCTCTAGCCCTGAAAATTTTTATCATCCGCATCTGTACAACAGCTGGAACAGTAACAACACCTGGACAGGGAGGGGAAGGCAAAGTTAAGAGACTGCCAAAGCTCACAACTGTAACTCCAGTTCCAGGGCATCAGGCCCCCTTTTTTATAGCCTCTGCAGGCATCAGGCATGCATGGGGTAGACATAGCACACATTTAGGCAAACACTCATACACGTAAAAGTAGAGGCCAAAAAAAAAGGCCCAGAGGAAGTGTGGTTCTAGCACCTGGCGGAACGGTGGGAGACAGCCTTCCTTGTGAAGAGGGCGCCTGCTAAAGGAAACTACCACTTGAAATGCCAGCTGAGTGAGGCCATTAGAGATCTTGAGAAGCATCTGTAGTCTTAGGCTGTAAGAATTTGGACATGATCATGAAGACAGAATAGCTGATTTGCAAAGATGATTTATTTCTGGCTTGAGAAACTTACAGGTAGAAGTTTGGGAGTCTGACATGGGAAAAAAGGTTCTTAGTGAGCATAGAAACCGAGTTCTGTTCTTAGAGCTGGACAATTGTCCACTTGGTTTGCCAAATACTACAAATAGTAAAAGTCTTACTAAAGCTAACATATTTTTCAAAGTCAAGCTGTAGTCAGTCATTCAAAGTCTGAAGATACAACAGGATAATACATCTGTCTTTCTTGGGTTATCAAGTTATGTCAGCAGTATCTGTCATTTCCTATTAAAAAAAAAATCTCATTTTGAAATAAAACTTCCCATGACAGTTCTGAATAAAGAATCATGAAAAATGTGTATTTCCAGCCCCTCTACTGTTCTAAATTACAGTCTTTGGCCTTTTTTTTTTTTTTTTTTTTTTTAGAAAGGGTTTCTCTGTGTAGACCTCGCTGTCCTGTCCTGAATTCACTTTGTAGACCAGGCTGGCCTCACACTCACAGAGATGCACCTTCCTCTGCCTCCCCAAGTGCCAGGATTATAGGTGTGTGCCACTGAGCCCACCATCTTGTTTGACCACTGTCATTGATACCCTGCTCTCTGAGGGTTTGTTGTTGTTGTTCTCTTTTCCTCCCTCCCTCCTGTCCTGCTTTTTCCTGAGTCTGGACCTCACTGTCCACCCTAGTTCCAATGCATGATCCTCCTGCATCAGCCTCTTTTGAGTGCTGGGATCACAGACAAGGGCTATTGCACTGAACTATTGCTTTACTACTGTAGGGTTCTTAAAAGTATGCATCAGCTCAAAAATTTCAATGTCTATTATATGCATTTTGTTTAGAAGCAATACGGTTGAGAGAAAAACAAAAACTACAAAGACATAGTTGCCCTGGTATTGTTAGTAACAACGTTAGTACACTTGGGTAAAATGTTGGCTATGTTGGGGGAGGGGCAACTCAGCTGGTTGTGATGGAACAGTGTCAAAGCAAGCAGATAAAGGGGGGGAAGCAAATAAATTTATAGTTTTATAAAATAATACTAAATTGGTTGTTTCTAATAAAAAAAAAAAAACACATAAGGACCAGGAAAATCATGATGGGGGCAATAAATAGGTATCAAGTTAGTGGCCGAGATGCTAGTTCCAAATATCTCTCTAATAGTGTCTGTGTGTGGGCTTGTGCGCTTGTGTGCAGGTGTTCACGGAGGCCAGAGGTATTGGATTGGATGCCCTTGAGAAGGGAGTTACATCTGGTTAGAACTGCCTGAAATAGGTGTTCAGAACAGAGCTTGGGTCCTCTGCAGCAACAGTAACTGCTCTTAACTACTGAGCCTTCTCCCAAGCCCTCAACTGTGATGCTTTCCATTATCTTTTCTTTTTAAAGAGTCCAGACAACTATGAAAAAGAGCCAGACACTACCCGTGAAGGGCAATAAAGAGATTTTTATTTAGTATGTTGGCAATAGGGACAGTCACTTGCATTAAACAAGAGCGTAACTCTGAAAAAAAAAAAAAAAGCCAGCTAGAGATTTATAGCCGACAAGGAGAGAGCGTAGTGGACATTAAGGGGCAGTTTCCTGCTACAGGTATGTCAAAGACACAAGCCATAAGGTGTGGGGTTAAGGGGATTTGGTCACATTTATAGGGTGGGAGACTTTGCAGGATTTTTGAGTCTCACACAAAAAGTGGCCGCCAGATACCTCGCCAACATTTGGTTCAGGACACAGTCTTTGTCTCAGGAAACAGAAGATTTGCATCCTGAAAGGTAGGGAGAGAGGAGGGAAGAGGAGCCAAAGTGTAGGAGAGGTACTAGCTAGGAAGGAAGTCAGTATAAGGCAGATAGACGAGGGTAGCTGGGGGTGAATGTGAGCACAGGGCACTGTATGCACGTGTCATGAAGTCGGATTTTAAAGAAAAACTTAAAAAGATAAAAGCGACCGTCACTTTTTTTTTTTTTTTAAGATAAGCAAATATGACCGTCTCTAATCTATCTTCCTATGCGGAGATATCATACTCTTATCCAAGTTCCAAAGCGGTGGATGCAGCCGAAATTACCTTAGCTTCAGCGAGATTCACCCAGAGGTGGTTGGCTTTCCACAGCGACAGTTCTGCAGCCTTCGGAAGAGCCTCCAACACTGAGCCCAGTGCGTGTGATTCACTAGCTCCCTCCCTGCTCACGGAGCGCCGCGAAGTCACGACATTGCTAGTTTAGCCCTCACCCTCCTTCATGCAAGGGAGTGTCTAGGGTCCTCTTACTTTAGGGAAGGAGATGGTTCTAGGACCCGTTTCTTTAAAGCAACAGGATTAAGGTGGCACACCGTGCACGTGCAGCGTGGGAGCAACCCCTTCGCCGGCAGCCCTCCGGCCGCGCCTGCGCAGTTGGAAGCTCTATCAAAGCCTTGTGGGAAATGTAGTCCAGCGCGCCCGGCGGGTCTGCGTGTGCCGCCAGCCTCTGGCGTCTCCGGTGACTCGGGTGAGTGCGGCGCCTCGGGCGGGTGGTCCGCGGGCAGGGAGGCGGAGGCGTTTCCACTGGGAGCGCCGGGCTCTGCGGCCCGAGGGCGGGGCCGGCCGGACAGTCTGGTGCTCGGTCTTCCACGAGCAGCGCGGAGTTGCAGGTGCGCTGCTCACGCGGGCGCCAGGCCGCGGGGCACCCTGGCCGAGACCCCGGCTCGGCCCCTCCTGGACCCCGGAGTCAGTCGCGCCCGGCTGCTCTCCAGCTCTACCTGGCCGGGCAGCCCTGGCTCGGTCCGCGCTGCGAAGGCGTGGGGGACCCGCTCTCGGAAGCCTGGGAGGACACGGGGCCGCCGTCGGGGTCCGGGCCTTTGTGAGCATCCCTGCTCGGGATCCGCCCTCTGCCTGCGGGAGCCAAAGAGGGTCATGCGGAGTGGGTCCAGGCTGAGCGTGACCGTGCCCGCCGAATATCCTCTCCTTAAGTTCACCATTGGTCAGCTAGAAAATACACGGGTAACATCATTCGAAATCTGTCCAGAAATCCGTGTATTGTGTATATGTGTATAAATAGAAACATTTTGCTTAAAAAAAAAAAATAGGAATGTTAGTGTCGTTTTTCCATTCACCTTTAAAAATGGAGTTACGAAATGCATTTTGTAAGGTGCTTGATAGTGTTTGTAAACCATTGTGCCACCACCCGATGAAGATAGAGAATAAACAACACTAATTTTTAAGGACAGTTAACGCTGTCATTTTCATGTGTGGGAGGGAAAGTATGACTGCCAAAGCTAATGCTCCCTTTGGACCTTTGGGTTTTTGTGGGGGGGGGGGGTATTTTCTATTTTACTATTGTAAATGGTACAGCCCATCTGTTTATGTCATTCTTTGCATTGCCTCTTTCCACAAATCTTCAAGTGAAATTTCTAGTCAATGTTACAGTTAGACCTTTGGACATTGCCTTTCTTATTCTTTCCAGAAAAGTAACAGTTTATAAAAATAGTTTCAAGATAAGAGTGGTTGATGGCCCCACACCAATTTCAAGTGTTAGTCTCTTAAGCCTTGGAGAGGTGCAGGCTAGGTGTGGTAGTGTATGCCTTTTATCCCACAGAGGTAGGGGGATGGGTTTGAGGCTACGTTGGTCTACACAGAGAGTTCTGGGCCAGCCAAGGCAACTTAGTGAGACCCTGTCTCAAAAAAATATCCTTGTGCTAAACCCCAGCTCATTTTATTCCTAACTTTTACATCTGTTGTACAAACAGGTCTCATGAATATACAGAAATGTTACATATTCCTATAGTCACATAACCCTTCCCTCTGTGTTTCCTTTTCCCATTTCATGTGTGGGTGTATGTCTGCATGTGTGTATGGGGACAGGTACACATATGTCCACATACACATGGTCACCTGAGGTGAATGGTGACAATCATCCTTGATCTTCCTCTGAGCCCCAGGCATTCCATCCTCTTGCTTGCATCCTGGTCCTCATAGTCAGACAGCGAATGCTTTAACCAGGGCCAGCTCCCTGCTCCTCCACTGTGTTTACCGTAATTAGAGAGTCCTTCTGTTTCATCACATCACAAAGATGCTCATTTATCGTTTCTTGTAGAACTCTCATTCCATTTCTGTATCTGTATTCTTTTCCAAATGGCAACCCTTGTTATATGTTCTTGTATAACATATGTAACATATATCTTTTCTTTACTGACAAGAGATGTCAACTATCTCACATCCTCAGTCCACCCACCCCACTCCTCTGCCTTCACTGTGGTAGGGACCAAATCCAGGGTCTCTGCAGAGCTATAATAACTAAGCCCCTGGATACTCATATTTTTTTTTTCTGAATTATTTCAACTGCTAGAATATGAATTTTTCCCATTGGTGTTCCCTGTTGGTCTGTAACATCCCGAGGGTGGAAACTTTGCCTGCTGTGTTTACAGATGTTTTCCCCATTGCTTGGCATGCTGATCTTCTCACTGTAGGTGTTGACGAGATATTTAATGTGTCAGAGATTCTTCAGTAATGCTGCTGTTTTTGTGTCAACTTGACACAGGTTAGAGTTAGCCAAAAAGAGTGAGCTTCAACTGAGATAATGCCTCCATAACATCTGGCTGTAGGGCATTTCTTAATTAGTGATTGACAAGAGGGGCCGCAGAGTAGCCCACTGTGGGTGGTGCCGTCCTTGGGCTGGTGGTCCTGGGTTCTGTAAGAAAGCAGGCTGAGCAAGCCATGGGGACCAAGCTGATAAGCAGCACTCCCCCGTAGTGTCTCCTGCCCCCAGGCCCCTGCTTGGTTTGTCCTGACTTCCTTTGATGATGAACAGTGATACGGAAGTGTAAGCCTAATAAACCCTTTCTTCCCCAAGCTTTGATCATGGTGTTACAGCAACAGTAACTCTAAGACAGCTGTGTTCTAGTTAATATCGTTTAAAATTCTGGTGGGCAAGTTCCCTTTTATGACTATTACTTTAGATTGGAAGAAGGTACATATTTGTGTGTTGTAGTTATAATTTGATTATAATTTGATTATACTCAAATGAGAGTAATTAGCACAATCCATAAACTTGCATCTTTCTCATTTCTTTGTGTTGGGAGCACTGAAGATGCTTTCTTCAGCTGAGTGTAATCCCACCACCTGGAGGCCAGAGGCAGGAGTGGAAGGTCATTCTTCATTACACAACCAGTTCATGGCCAGCCTGGGCTGTGTGAGACCCTGTCCCAAAAAAAATGAAAAGGGGGCTAAAGAGATGGCTGGGTGCCTTCTGTGTGTGCATGAGGACTTGAGTTCAGAGGCAACACCCATGTAAGAATCTGGGGTGGGGGGCTTTAGGCGAATGTGTAACCCCAGTGCTGGGAGGTAAGGCACAGAGGCAGGAGGATTGCTGGAGTTAGCTTTCCATCAGCCAAACTCCAGCTTCAGACACTGTCTCAGAGGAATAAGGCAGAGAGTAATAAAGTAGGACACCAAATGTCCTCCTCCTGCAGCTACATATGCACATACCACACGTGTTTGAACAAAACACACACGTATGCATAAACAACCAAAAAAGTGGCAATTCCTGCTAATTTAAAAATAAGCTAATGTGGGTTAATTACAGCTAAACTTCTGTGCTGTACAAGGTTAAAAAATAAGTCTCTTGCTTCCCTTTATTCCTGTGTCTGGTAACTAACCCCCTCTGTGCCTGTCTCCCCTTCTCTGTGTCTGGTAGCCTCTACAATATACTCTCTGCTTCAATGAAATCAACACCCTCAGCTTCCACATAGGAGTGAGAACATCTGGCGTTTGACTTCACTAGGATTCTTTTATGTTTTTTCCTCCTAAGGCCAAAGATGTGGCTTAGCAGTTAAGAGCCCTTGCTGCTCTTACAGAGGACCCAGGTTTGGTTCCCAGCACCCACTAACTTCAATTCCAAGGGATCCAAAGCCCTCTTCCCACTTCCTCCAACACCAGACACAAACATGGTACACACACATACATGCAGTCAGAACACTCATACACAGAAAATAAATAAATCTAAAAAATATTATACAACATGATTAATAATTTTTCCATAATTAACTTTAAAATGCTGTCATTGAGGTATATAAACTGAACGTGTTAAATTCAGGTCGAGGAATAATCACCTAGAATCCTGAGCCATCCCAGGAATACAGCATGCCTCTGCATTCTTTTCTGCTTATATACCTAAGTAAGCTTAATAAAGCAAGGTTCATAGGAAAATATTTAACTGTATTTATGTCAATGCCTTACACTTCTTATTTAATTTGTTTGTAGGTGTTCTGTTTTTCGTTGCAGCAGGAGTCTCTCTCATGGCTTCCTTTCCTTCCCTCAGCTCCACCTCTAGAGACTGCACATTCTCTAGGAAGGCCCCACAGAAAGGAGGAAGGCAATGGCTGTTGGGCCTGTGCCCTTGGAAGCTCAGGTGAGATATCATTGTCAGACATCCTTTACTCCCATAATGTGAATGGGCCTCACCGTGGAGGACAGACGTGTAGTGAGAATTTTATAATTCGGTTTCTTTGAAAAAGACAGAAATATTTATGGGACTATGTTTTTGTTTTAATCCCATGTGTGGGGATATGGAGCTGCTTTGTAGCAGCTGAGTATGGTTTGCCTCATGCTCTCGCAGGGGCGTGGTTTTGCCAGCTGCAGATAGTTTCTGCCAATATGTGGCATTTGGGATTCTGGGGACTCTGTAGAGGGTATATAAATGCAAGGGCCCCGGGAGGCAGGGTTGTTGGTTGGTGGCTGCTTGGTAGTTGGATGCTGTTGGTTGCTGTTTTTTAAGTAGTCATGCACAAAGAAGAAAGAAGAAATTAGATATCCTGAAGACGAAGATCCCAGGGAACTCGGAGGAAGTAGTCTGACGATAATGCTGATCTCTTTATGCTCTATCCTTTTTTCTTTCCTATTTACTGTTAGGGGGTTAATAAGGTGGAGAAGGGTGGAAGAGAGGAAAAGGAACCTACAAAATAACAAATACAGGCTACTCAGATGAATTGGAGCATTCATCTGGGTCCCATCACCTGTCACTGGAGTTCTTGATGGTCCTCAAAGGCTAGAGAAGGAACCAGACTCACAGGAGAGATTGATTGGTGCTTCTAGGGCTTACAGATTCTTGGGACTCAGAAAAGTCTAGGGAGGAGGAGGGCAGAGGTATGAGGAGGAGGAGGGTGTGCCCACTCATCTCAGTGTCTGGGGAAGGATGCCACAGAAAATTTTGCTGTAATGGAGGTACAAGTTTCAACCTGGAGTTGGTCTTGCTAGTTATGTCGCATGTCACACTCCCATGTGCTGAGAGAAATCACAGCCATTTCCTGAGTGTCTGCCATACACATGGCATGGTTAAGTCTCCTAGCACTGGCTTCTGTTTAGCTGTGGTGAAGACTGCATAGTGGATGGTGCCTCAGTATCAGGAATGTAGGCGAGAGGGTGAGACCAACTAGGAAGTCCAGCAGCAATCCCCCACTAGGCCCTAGTCCTTAAAGGACCCACTAATTCTGTGTGTGTGTGTGTGTGTGTGTGTGTGTGTGTGCCTATGTTTATATTTACTAAGGCCAGAAGAGGACACAGGTGTCTTATCACTTCATGACATTTTTGTGTTTAGACAAGGTCTCTCACTGAACCATAAGCCCCTCATTTAAGCTATGTTAGCTGGCCGGTAAACTACCAGGATCCACTGTCTGTATCTATCAGTGTGGGGCTTATAGCATACCACCTTTTGTGTGCATCCTCAGGATCTGAACTCAGGTCTGCTTGTCTGCTTTGCTCACTCTTAGCCACTGCTCCATCTCCCCAGCCCTTCCTCAACTCCTAAACGTCACCACATGGGGACCAGGACATGGGGACCAGGACATGGGGACCAGGACGTGGGGACCAGGCTTCTAGCACTTGAGTACTTGAGGTTAAACCACCCCAGGATAGGCCATAGCACTCCTGTGTACCTTCTTTTCCTACCCTTGCCTCCTGAGATGGTCAGGGTTAGTTGTCACCTTAACAGAATCGGGAATCACCTGGGAGATGAGCTTTTGGGCATGGCATCCTAACTGCGTTAAATCAAGACCCTCCCGTGGTGGGTGGCTCCATTTCCTAACCAGGACCTTGAGCTGTGTACATGGAGAAAGAGAGCTGAGTAGTAGACACTCATACCTCTCTGCTTCCCAAAAGTGGATGTCACGTGACCAAATGCCCCTTGCCCCTGCTGTCTTGCCTGCTGCAGCGTAATGGTCTGCACCTCTGAACTGTGAGCCAACAAACTGTTTCTCCTTTAAGTTGCTTTTGTCAGAATATTTTATTACAGAAACAAGAAAGGAAACTACCACAGTTCCCAAGCCAGTCTCTGTTAGTTTTTCCTCTGTCTCATAATGATTCTGGGTCTGTGGTTTGTTGTACATATTTTGTCTTTGTCAGAATATAGCATGTCTTTCCTCACACAAACCTATTCCCTGTTCCTTCGGTGCTGCTTGGTCTTTTCTGGAGGTTTTTTTGGTTTTTGGTCTTTGTTTTTTGTTTTTGTTGTTGTTGTTGTTGTTTTGGCAAAATCCCATGTTAAGGAGGGAATTTGTATTTTCAGGAGTCAGTGACACTCAAAGATGTGTCTGTGGACTTCACTTGGGAGGAGTGGATGCAGCTAGATTCTGCACAGAGGAGTCTGTATGGCAGAGTGATGCTGGAGAACTACAGGAACCTGGCCTGCCTGGGTGAGGACCTGCACACTTGCAACTCAAGACCTACTGTTGCCACCTCCCCCTTCAGCCTTCTGCCATACGGAGTTCATGGGTTTGACTTGAAACCCTGGCTCTCATGGGGCATTGTTTAGGACAGTGCCTAATGACCCTCTTTCAGGGTGAAAAGTCTGAAAAGAATTGAAAACATGGAAAGGGAGGAAATTAGAACTGTGATGGGCATGGGTGCTGACTAGTTCAGAACCCAAACTCAGACTCACCTCTTTCCTCCCAAGCAGGACATCAACCTTCCAAACCAAATGTGATCTCTGCTCTGGGACAAGAACTGGGCCTGAGGAAAAGAGAACTCCCAGGTTGCATCTCTCTGGGTAAGTGTCAAGATGCTAGGACTTGTAACATGGTGTCTTAACAAGAGGAAGCATGACAGGGGTCTTGGGGTCTCTGGAGAGACCGGCTCCCACAGATGTGTTTTTCATAAAGACAGTGCCATCATGCTGGAGATTTGTCCTTTTTTGCTCAAGCTTTTGTCCTGGTCTTGGAGGAGGGGATGGACACGATGTGAGGCTTGAGTAACTACACCTGTAGTGTTTGTACCTTGCCTAGAGCCACTGAGCATTTGGAAATGGTAGCAGTGACTGTTTCCTTTCTGTCTTCATTTTTGTTGTGCTAAGTCTGTCACTGACTGAGACACCTCCTTTTACCGTCTTTGTTCCCAGACCGAACCTATAGCCTTGGCTTCCTTTTCCTTGTGTGTAACATTTGGGAGCTTTCTTTTCTTCCTGCCTGGATAGGAAATATGAATAGTCTCACTATTTTAAAGCTGAGAAATGACTAGTTTTGTTTACATTTCCAGTAGCCTCACATCTTACATATTTCATTTATTATTCCAAAATGTCCCATCTGTGTCCACCATCTACTTATTTCCTGCCATGCAGATCTTAATACTTAGTGCCCTGGTCAGTCCCTGCCACAGCTGAAACTTCTCTTTGAGACAGTTGACTCTGTAGATAAGTTGACTCTTATCTACAGAAAATATATTTTACATCTTGCCTCTTCCATGTTTCTAGCCCCACTGTTTTCAAATGTATTTTTTGAAGCTAAGGAGTGAGCTTCAGTTGTGTAACATGTTTGGTGTGCAAGTATGAGAACCCGAGTTCAACCTCCAGTGCCCACACAGAAGCCATGCCTGTAGATTAGAGGCTACACACACGAAGGAGGCAGAGACTGGGAGATCTCTGGGGCTCCCTAGTCATCCACTGTAGACAAATTGTTGTGCTCCAGATTTAGTCAGAGACCCTGTCTCAGAAAATAAAGGGAGAGTGATGGAGATACCTGATAGCCCTGTCTCAAAATCAGAAGAATATATTTTTGCATTATTGGTGATGTCTTGCCATTGTCACTATCGTGTGATTTGTTGGAAAATGTTCTTAGGAGTAGATGCTGGGGTGCTCAGGGCTAGCATGTCACATCAGTGAGCTAAGAAGAGGTCCAGCGATTTAGACCTATGGCTTCATTTGAGAATCTGCTCAAAGTCACAACCCCTAGGGAGCTTATTTTCTTCTATTATAGATTTCTGAGGTGTTGGTTACTGTTGTTAACTTGTGTTTACTGTTTTGTAAATAATTTATTCATTTCACAAATACTCATTGATATTGCCCTCTTTCTGGCAATGGGATTATAGCAAGAAAGCAACATAGGCAGAGTTTCGTTGAGCTCATGTTCTGTCTAGGGAGATAATACATCAATTGAGAAGGGAGAGGCAGGGCAGAGGAAAAGAGAAGAAAGCAGCAGAGGATGGGGGGAACAGAACAGTCTGAGTGGGTGGAAAGAGAAAGCAGCCTAAGGGGAGGTTACTTCTGTGCTGTAGGGTTGTGACTTTGAGCAGATTCTCAAATGAAGCCATAGGTCTAGGATAGTATTCTGAGCTTAGGGAGCAGCAAATGCCAAGGCCCGGATATGGAAAATTGCCCTTCCAAAGGGAAGAAAGCCTCAGGTGAGACCAGTCCTTGAAATGTAGTTCTTTCACTCTTGAGGGGAAAAAAAATCAAATTCTACTTTTATTCATTCCCTCTCTCTCGCTCCCCCTTTCCCTCCTCTTCCCTTCCTCTGCCTCCCCTTTATGGTGTATGCACTTATGTGTGTTATATTCCTCTGTGTGTGTGTGCTGTATGCATTGTGCATAGTGTATATGCACATGTGTGTGCTGTTGTACTCACTCAAAGCCAGAAGGTATCAGGTGTCCTGCTTTATGATTCTGCCTTATTCTCTTTAGATAGGGTCTCTCTGAGCCTAGAATTAGTCTGGCAGCCAGCAAGCCACAGCGGGTCTCTGTGTGACTCTGTGTGGCACTGGGATTGTAGGCACGTGTGTCCATGCGCAGCTTTCTGTGTAGGTGCTGGGGTTGGAAGTCAGTCCCCATTCTTGCAGAGCAAGCACTCATCCCACTGCCCCCTCTCTGCGGCTCCTGTCCCTTCATGTCGGCAATACATTAACTTCCCCTGCTTTATAGATACTTTCACTTTTCAGTAGTTCTGGAGTTTGTGGCATACACATGTGTTTCTACACTCCCTAGATTTAGTACATTTGTTTAGGGTTCTTTGGTTACTCCATTGCCATGTGGTTAGGTTTCTTGAGGCATCCGATGGACATGTGTGTGGTGCTAGAGATTAAGCCCCACATCTTGCTTCTCACTCACCTTTCGCTAAGCAAGGGCTTTACCACTAACGATTTCCTACCCCATTCCTTTATCTTCTTTCAAGCTTTTCCATCAGGAAGGATCCAAAAGCTTCTTCAGCTGCTAGTGATTGGAGTGTATACAGTATTTACTTGTCTTCCTGGGTGTCTGTCTGCCTGCTGGTGTGTAGACTCAGTAACTTGTCATTATTGAGCTTTCATTATATGCCTGCTCCCTGCCTGCCAGAGCAAGTGTTTGGTAATATTTGTTGAATGAATATTGGATAACATTAAGTAGAACTTTTAGAAATCAGGGCCAAATATAGGTTTGTAAATTTTAACTGTATCTGTGGAATTCATACCAGTGGAAACTGGAGAATTATCAGGATAGAACCAAAGGCCAAAGATGCTCCCACACAGGTTACAGAAGTATGCATGGGGATGAGGAGGGAGCTGGGTCAAGGGAAAGAGAAAATCAGAAAATAGACAGCAGTGGTGAGTAAGAAAGGATGAACACCCGTGGGCTGAGTGATCAGGAAGCCACCCGTGACCCAGGGAAGAGCCTGTTTAGTGCTTAGGAGCTGTGCTGTCCTGTGTGCAAGAGTACAGAAAAAAGTACAGCCTGGCATGTCCTCAAGGTCAGCTGAAGAGAAGGAAAAAGAGAAGAGCATTTCTGTGTTCTTCAGGCTGATAGGTCCAAGTCATCCTCTGGAAAAGGAGAACCTGGCGAGCAAGGAACTTGGCAAGCACGGTGAAGCCCAGGGAACACCGTGGTGTGCGGTGCAGAGCATGCTCTTTCCAAATTGTCTTACCTGTCACTCACAGGTTAGCTGTCCAGTGGTGTCATGTTAGCAGGTAAATGTGACTGCACAGGGCTGTGCTTGGTTTTCTGTACATGCATAGTCATGACCGAGTTCACTTCTCAAGTCACCCGCGTCTTTCCTCACCTTTGCAGGCCTGGCGCATTGTCTTTTGGCATCCTGTGTTCCTGGGAGGATCTCCTAGGCCAGTTTTTAAAAATTTGTAGGTAATCTTTTTGTTTTTCTTTTTATTAAGAATTAAGTCTTCAGAATTTATATGTAAGTTAGGCATCTAAATTTAATAAAGAATATATTGAACCTCACTAAGTTCTGTATACTGTGAAGATGTTTGAGTTTTAAAAACTGTTAGCATTTTTACAGAATAGCAAATGCTTTATTCTTTTTCTCACTTGGTTTATATAAACACTTGTATATATAAACAGAAGGATTTATAAAGCATATATACTAATTGAACCAGTGCATATTCTGTTACAGCCTTAATAAATTAATGCTTAACTAATTTTTCTTATACAAATACTGTAAATACCACTTAACAGATGAGGAGATTGGAACACAGAAAGGTTAAGAAACCTACACAAAGTCACAGAGCTAATAGTGATTAAAATCAAATTTGAGCAGCATAGATAATCTGGTTCCAGAGTTATTACCTAGCCACTATGTCCTCCTGCTTGTCTATGTAGTTGGTGATGATGAAAATTAGTGAAGAATAAAGAGAGCAGACACCCAGGGTCCAGACCCTAAATCAAGAACCAATATCCCATGTACTCTGTTACCTCTGCCCAACGCTGACTACTATTCTGATTTGTGAGAATTTCTGTATTAGTTATGGTTCTCTAAAGAAATAGAAGGGGATGTATAAGAGTGGCTTACAGGCTGTGGTCCAACTAGCTAGTCCAGCAATAGCTGTCTCTTTAAGGAAAAGTCTTCACATTATTCAATCCGTGAGTTGTAGTAACTTAAAGGTGTTTGACTATATTATATTTATTATTAACCCTAAGATTATCACAGCAGTATTATTTAACCAAAATAATAATAATAATAATAAGTAATAAGACACAGACACCTGTTAGATTTATAATTGCCTTCTTTACATTGGGCTGGGTAGATATTTTAGCTACACTGTCTCAATATCCTCATCATCCATCTCCCAACCCCCATCCAATGCCATCTGCCTTAATCCTCCTCATCTGGTCTTCCTTCCATATATAATCCCATGGTATTTGCTTTTATTCTTCTTCTGGTCTTGACTCCTCGACCACATGTTTTTTTCTCCACACTTACCCATTGTTGTCCTCCTTCCTCCTCTCTTCCCATCTGTCTGTCCTGTGATTCTCAGGATTTTCTCATCCTCAAAAGCCCAGCAACCTTAGCCACGCCTACCCCATTCTGCCCTGCCCAGGTATTAGGCCATTTAACAAACCAATCAGGCATAATGTTTTAGGTAGGTTTACACAGACAAGGATGGGTCTATCCGAAAGGCAGTAAGCAGATCTTGAGAGCCAGTAATTAGCATTTGACCAACCTCCAGTACATGAGTCTGAATGTGTCAGCTGCTCTTCAAACTATATTGGAATCCCAAAGAAGTAGGTTCTGATACCAGCAAAGGAATGTCTTAGCATCTGGCTAGATGAGCTATTAGTGAGAGTGAGGGCAAGTAGGAAAAAAACAAAAGCTTTCTTACTGCATGTCCTTTTATGTGGGCTGCCACCAAGTGGAGCCCATGTTTAGGGTGGGTCTTCCTACTTCAGATGACCCAAATTTAGCATGAGTCCTCCTACCTCAATGATGCAATCAAGTAAATCCCCCCAGACATGCCCACCTGTTTGAATTTCAGTTATTATATATGTAGTCAAGTTGACAACCAAGATTAGCCATCACAAATCCAGTCCTTGTCATGCTGATACACAGTCATGTCATGGCTGTTGGAAATAAAATGGTGTTGGGTTAAATATTTTTATTATTAGCCCAATAATTGTTATGGCGGTATTATTTAACCTGCTATAATAATCAATAGAACACAGACACCTGTTAGATTTATAATTGCCTTATTTACCTTGGGCTGGGCTGATATTTCACCTATGTTGTCTCAATAACTGCACCCATCCACCTTCCAACCCCCATCCAAAGCATCCACCTTAACTATTCCTATCTGGGCTACTTTCCATCCATAATCTTATAAATACTTGCTTGTATTTTTTATCTGGGATTTTCCATACCATTATTGGAGTCCGTCCTCCCAGCCCACATAGTTCCTTCTCCACACTAACCCATCCTGGCATCCTTCTTCCTCCTATCTTATCTTCCTGTCTGTGTTTTCCCATGATTCTCCTGGACCCAAAGCCCAGGAACCTTAGCCATGCTTACCCCATTCTTCCTGCCCAGGTTTTAGGCCTTTTAACCAACCAATCAGGAATAATGTCCTAGGCAGGTTTACACAACAAGAATAGGGCAAACTAAAAAGAAAAATAAAATAATAAAAAAAAAAAAAGAATAGGGCAGTAACCAGATCTTGAGGGCCAATAACTAGCATCAAAATACAAGCATCAGACCAACCCTGAATACATGACCAATTTCAAAATGAAAATAATAACCAGGTCATAATTCCACCTAACATGATGTAACTATCCCATATACAACCATAAATGTATTATAGGTGGCAATGTCCCCTGAGGAATGGTTAGTATTTTAGTCTCATAACAAATATGATAACCATTAATATTAGTTGATATTACATCACATGATAAATAGAGGAATACATATAGCACTTATTATATATGTATGTGTACACAAACTCATTCTTAACAAAATAGGACAGAAACAGTCATTTAATTGCAATTTATTTTTCTGTCATGAGACCTTAGCTGATGTTTGTAATTACCTTCCTCTACAACCTATTCTGTACTTCCTGCTACCCTCAGCAAGCACCTCAGAGAGTCTTGGTTCTTTCCCTGGAGGGGAAATGACCCATACTTCATTCCTGAGGGTCTGGACCCTTCGTTATCCTGCCTGGATTAGGCTGTTATAGTCTCTCACTGACTAATCATGGTAGCACCAAGAGGTGCCCTGAAGGATCTCCTGCACGCAGGCTCTCCTGCACTGTAGATATAATCTTCCTTACCTCCATGATGGAGAAGCAATCCAATTTCTTCCTAGTAACCTGGATCAGTCACCTCTCCTAGCAGTGTTATTCCTTTCTTAGCCTGTTGGCTTAAGAGAATCAGAAATCCACAGTGGCCAGGGGAAGTGTGAGCCCCATTCAGTGGAGTTCTGTTGTGTCTCCTGGCAGGAACACTGCCCCATCTGGAACCAAAACTTCTAGGACAGCAGAAGTTAGGGCCATGGAAACAGGAAGCAGATATTTTCCAAATGGATCACTAGGCTTGACAATGAGTAGAACTATTCCCATTTCCACCTCCTTGATTCCTAGACCCTTGGATCCTGTCTGTGGGAGAAACTATATCATATATTGGATGAAGATTCAAAGCATATACCATCTTCTGGAGAACCCTGTCCCAGCCATCCAGGATGCTGCCACCTAATTGACATTATAACTATGTCTTCAAAGGGCCATCCCATCATTCTATCAGGATTCCATGAGCATAGACCTACTGTTGCACTTCTTTGGCGAGAAGTTCTATCAGTTCTTTGGTTAGAAGCAGTGCCATATGGAATAAAAACATGACAGTAAAGAATGCATTCTGTTAGTCTGCAGATGGTAGTGTTGGCAGCATTCTATGCAGGAAAGTCAAACCCAAAATCAGAATAAGTATCTATTCCAGTAAGGACAAAGTGTTGCACTTTCCATGAAGAAAGTGGCCTCAAAATAGTCAAGTTGACAACCATGATTAGCCATCACCACTTCCTTGTCTGGCTCTTCTTTACAGTGTTGCCATCTGTCTGTGCTAATGGATTCTCCCCTGCACCTTTTGTAGGATTCTGGGTAGCAATTCATATATTCTCAAAGAACTTGAATTGGATAACTGGATGCTGCCAGAGTGAGCTGGGGCAAGAGACAGCTACCAGCTCATATATTGCTTGCTGATAACAGCTGATAAATACTCTCTCCAGAATTACTTAGGGACATTGTATTTGGTGGCAATTCCTATTTGACTTCTGATTTTTCTTTTTGTTAAAGCAGGTCAGCTTGGAAGGGGAAACCCTGTTAGGTGTATTCTTGCTTCAAAGCCTTTGGCTTACTGTTTCTCACATTGATCGCTGCTATGTTAACTTTGATTGACAGTCCTAAAGCTGATTCTCAGATTGCAGTTTCTATCCTCTCTTCTCACTGCCTCCTGGCTATTTTTTCTGGGATAAGAAATCAGGTCTTATGAGCTGGAGCCCGCCAGCAGAGTCGAACAGTTCTTGAGTCAGGAATGAGGATTAAAATTAATAAACTAACACACAACACATGGGACCTTTCCAAGATGCTCTAGTAGAGACTAGACACCTGGCTTTATTTCAGACTGCTTTTAAGCCAGAGTAAAAGCAGCTCAGCACAATGAGTTCCATTCACAAGGAGGTGAAACAAGAGGTGTGATTTTTGACAAGCTATCCCACCTGCTATCTCAAACAAAAGGAGACTGTTGTAAAAGATAATTAATATTTACTATTGATATATCCTCTGGTAATCCTGCTGTTAGTCCTAAACAGCTGTATAACCAAACCACCATGCAGAGACTGGGTTTATTTAGTTAACCTAGAACACAATGCTGGGCAATAGTTACTCCCTCCTAAACCTCCAAGCCCTCATAGTTTCCTAACATTTAGATTTCCTACATTATACTTGCTTTTAGTGATATCTTAGGTCCAGTCCATCTCTCCATGCTATTCCAAGATCTGTCCTCCAGCTCTCTCTCCTAGTTCTCTTTGCCCTTTCCCCTCCCACTCATTTCCTGTCCTCTGGCTCCTCCATTTGCACAACATTGTGGCTAGTTGTTTTATTTTGCCCTGTTTACACACAGTTGAGACTGGATGCTCAGAATAAGTATCACAATGCAATATCTGGATTGAAACCAGAGAGTGGTGTGGAGAAATCAGCATTTGAATGAACAAGGGTAAGGTGTATACATTTTAAAAGAACATTATACCAACAGGAGATTGACTTGGAAATTCTTCCCTGACTCCAGTGAAGGCAGTCTTTCCGCTGAGATTTAAATATCAAAGCAGCTGGTAGGACAGCGGCTCCCAACAGGTCTCCCTTTTTTATTTTTTCGAAAGGCTCCAGAGTCCTGTCTTCTGCTCCCTTTCCTCTAGCAGTTCAACATATTCTCTTCATCTTGCTTTGCTCACCACAAGTTCTCAACTTCACAAAGAGGAAATTTAGCAAAGAGTAGGGCTGTTAAGGCCTGTTACATCAGTGAGTAGAACTGTCTGCTTAAAGGTTAAGAAGAATGGCCTTTCCAAGCAGGGGTGGCATGTGTCTCTAGTACCAGCACTCCAGTGGCAGAGGCAGGTGAATCTCTGAGTTTGAGGCCAGCCTGGTCTAGGAAGGGAGCTCTAGCACAGCCAAGGCTACACAGAGAAACCCTGCCTCAAAAAAACACAACCAAACCAAGCCAAAAAAATAAGGGAAAAGAAAGGCCTTTAAGAACATCCTCCTTTCAGAGATGTGCGCTTCAAATGTGTTCTGCCTTTGTGTTATAGATGAAGGTATTCTCCAAGGGCAGTTTACAATAGTGTCTTACTCCTTATCAGATTATTTTGTCATCTTTTAGATTAATTTGGTGTAGAGGTCTAAGAAACTACTAATAGGAATAGCCTATGGATAGGTTTCTTTTCTGGTGGCTCTAACAAAGCAACCTAGGGTAGAAAGAAGGCATTCCAGCTCATGTTCCAGGTCACAATCCATCATGGCAGAAGAAAGCACAAAGCAGGAGACTGATCATTGACCACATAAATCCATAGTGAGGAGGCAAAAAATAGTAAATACATGCCTGCTGGTACCCAGCCTGCTATCTCCATCTTATCAAGGATTCCCTGCCCAGGGAATGAGCCCACCCATAGTCAGTATGGGTCTTCCCGCATCAATTAATACAATCAAGATGACCCCCCATGGCCATGTCCTTAAGTCAACCTAACCTAACAATCCCTCATTGAGGCCTCCTTCCCAGATGAATCTAAATTCTGTCAAGTTAACAATGTCAACACACACAGTTCCCGCCCCTTATCAATTTGCATTAAAAAAATCACTTTTAAGCCACTACCTGCCCATTGTTCCCATAGGCTTATTACCATGTTATAAAATGCATTTAATCCAACTTTAAAAGCTTCTGTAGGTCAGGGATGGTGCCACATACTTTTAATCACACCACTTGGGAGGCAGAGGCAGGTGGATTGCTATGAGTTTGAGGCCAGCCTAGTCTACACAGTGGGTCTAGGACTCTGTTACACAGAGAAACCCTGCCTCAAAAAACAAAAACAGAAAACAAAAATTAAAACAAATAGAAAAGTTTGTGTAGTATTTAACAATTCCAATACTTTAAATATCCAATGTCTTATGAAAACTCATTTTTAAAAAAAAGATGCTTACAAGATAAAATAACAGAATAAACAGGGCACAAAATAACCACACCAAAGCAAACCAAGTTCCTGCAGTGCCGTGTCTGCTATCTGAGGCTTGTTATGAAGTGTCCTGGGCTCCTTGTGGCTTCATATCTACCCTTCCAACTTTGCCATTTGCATTACACACATACTATCTCCTAGGCCAGCTCCACTTCATTCCTTCATCCCATGGCAAATAACCCATGGTCCTGGCATCTCCATCATCCTGTGGTTTCTACTGTAACTGAGACTTGATTTTCACAGCTTTGTACAACAGCCTATCGAGGCTTCTATGCAGTTCCTGGCCTCAGCTAAAATCCATGACCTCCCACCTCTGTTTGCATCTTTCATGCCATCAAAACTAGTATCACATTATGCTGCAAGTTCTGCCCCCAGCAACATGACCCCTTTGGACTACAGCTGTACTACCTTCTGTGTGCTGTCCTGGAAAAACATTCATTAGGAAGTTGCTTTTGAGGGACAGGATCCACTTCAAACTAGATTTTGCCCTAGTAAATGAATTTGGATCTTTACGTGAAGGAACCTCTGTTGGGTGTTTTTTGCCTCGTATAACTCCAGTGCAGTGCAGGAGGCATCTCTACAGTGGTGCTAACGTCTTCAACAAGTTCAGCTGTTTTCTCAGCCACTGCTTAAAAGCCCTCCTGTTCTCAGTTTCCCTTGCCAAACTAGTCCACTGTCCTCAGATACAGCTTTATTCATATTTCCAGGACATGGGCAGAATAAGACCAGAAATTTCAACAAAGTATAACACAGATGGCCCCTAACCCAGTCACTGATATAATTATTTCCCTTTAAAACCTTATGATCCATGTTTATCTCAATCTTATAAGCTCCCACCAGAATGAGTTAAGCTCTGATTCCAACATTCAGTGACTTTTCTAGCCCAGTGTACCATACTGTTTCACATTCTAGCTGCAAATGGGTCCAAAGATAAGAAAAGAATGATACAGTCAGTTGTACACATTAAAGACCCTACTTCTGGGTAACAATTTCTGTCTTAGTTTCTTTTCTGTTGCTGTGATGCAATATTCTGAAAAAAGCAACTTAACTCACGGTTCCCATTGAATTCTATGCATGGTAGAGAAGTCACAGTGGTAGGTGGCTGAGGGAGCTGGTCACCTTACCTCTACAGTCAGAAGAAAAGAACAATGAATGTATGCATGTTATTGATCAGGTTGCTATCTGTCCCACTCTTATACAGGATTCCCCCTGCCCGAGAGAAGACCCAGATGAGCCTTGTCACATCAGTAATATAATCAGTAATCCTCCACAGGTCAACTCAATCTAGATAATCCTCCATTGAGATTCCCTAGCCCAGGTGACTCTGCATTCTTTCAACTTGATTATGTAATCATCATAATATAGCACATCATTCTTCTCTGCCTTCCCTAGCCATCTTTTTCTGTATATTTTCCCCTAGTTCTACCTGCATTGTAGATCCATCCCCCTTAGATAAGCTAACCCCTTCTCCCCACTTATCCATCTGCTCTTGTCTTACTTCTTCTGTTTTTGTGGATTGTTACACTGTTCTTCACCTTTTGATTTCTCTAAAGAATTGTAGAACTATTTTCAAAACCTCTTAAGTGCATTTAACTATTATTCTATCTTTATACTCATACCCCAGCCCCTTTATATAGTTTCTTGTCACATAGCACAGAAATCAGTATGCATTTGAATTTCTTACTTTTTTCTTCAGGCCAGGAGACAAGACTTAAAACCAAAGACTCAACTCTGAAGTCCAAATTTATTGAAATTTTGCTCTATGGGGTCATGGAAAGAGAAGATCTCTGGCATTCAGTTTTAGAGGCAGTCTGGGAACCTTCCTATTGCTTAGAGGGGCAACAAGAAAGATATCTGGGTCAGGTGACAGTGGCCCAAAAGGAAACCTTTAATGAGAACGTAGTATGTGGAGGTAATGAAACTGAAAAATGTTCCATTGAGGGTTCAGTGCTTGATACACCACAAAGCATTTCTGTGGTAAGAAGACCCCGTAATTGGAATTCACATGGAAAGGATTCTAAACAAAATTCCAAGTTAATGAAAACTTCAAGAATGTTTGTAGGAAAGAAAATATATGAATGTAATGAGTGTGGGAAAACCTTCAGTCAGAGTTCATCTTTGCTTAAGCACCAGAGGATTCACACTGGCGAGAAACCTTATAAGTGCAATGTATGTGACAAGCACTTCATTGAACGCTCCTCTCTCACTGTTCATCAAAGGACTCACACAGGAGAAAAACCCTACAAATGTAATGAGTGCGGGAAAGCCTTTAGTCAGAGTATGAACCTTACTGTTCATCAAAGAACTCATACTGGAGAGAAACCTTATCAGTGCAAAGAGTGTGGGAAAGCTTTCCGTAAGAACTCGTCCCTTATTCAACATGAAAGGATTCATACTGGAGAAAAGCCCTACAAATGTAATGACTGTGGGAAAGCTTTTACACAAAGCATGAATCTTACAGTGCATCAGAGAACTCATACAGGAGAAAAACCCTATGAATGTAATGAATGTGGAAAAGCCTTCAGTCAAAGCATGCATCTTATTGTTCATCAGAGAAGTCATACTGGAGAAAAACCCTATGAATGCAGTGAGTGTGGAAAAGCCTTCAGTAAAAGCTCAACTCTCACTCTACATCAGCGAAATCACACTGGAGAAAAACCCTACAAATGTAACAAATGTGGTAAATCCTTTAGTCAAAGCACATATCTCATAGAACATCAGAGACTTCACTCTGGAGTGAAACCTTTTGAATGTAACCAGTGCGGGAAAGCTTTCAGTAAGAATTCTTCTCTTACTCAGCATCGGAGAATTCACACTGGTGAGAAACCTTATGAGTGTATGGTGTGTGGAAAGCATTTCACTGGGAGATCATCCCTAACTGTACATCAGGTTATACACACTGGAGAAAAACCTTATGAATGCACTGAATGTGGAAAGGCCTTTAGCCAAAGCGCCTATCTTATTGAACATCAAAGAATTCATACTGGTGAAAAGCCCTATGAATGTGATCAATGTGGGAAAGCTTTCATTAAGAATTCATCCCTCATAGTGCACCAGAGGATACATACAGGAGAAAAACCTTATCAGTGTAACGAATGTGGAAAAGCCTTCAGTAGAAGTACAAACCTTACAAGACACCAGAGGACTCATACATGAGGAAAGTTTTCATTGACCTCTTCATCTTGATTATTCTTTTGATAATAATCAGATGTCATATTAATGTAGATATTAATAACTATAACTAATGTAGTAACCTTTTAATTGAAGTAGAGTATAGCATACCAATAGTAAAACCATAGCAGAGTAAACATATGAGTAAACCCTTGATTCAGATAGTAAAATTTTATATCAAGTTTGAGCAGCTAATACGTAAAAGACGAAGACATAGCCTCAACATAAGCTCTGTTGTGTCGTACTGGGAATTTGATTTGGGCATCAGAGTTCACACTGGATGGAAAATGTGATAGTGATTAACTGGATAGCCCCAAAATTGGGCTCAACCCAGTTCTAACCTCCCATTAACTTGAATAAATTACCCATTTTCATCAGGTCACAGTATCCTTATGTGATAAATGAAAGATTTGGGATGCAGGTCCATGAGATCTGTATTAGTCAAAATCCCAAAAAACACAGGGAAATTTTTTGGTCATTTGCTGTTATATGTGCTATGGAGGTGCTTCTATTTCGTAGTATGGTTTTCTTAGGTGTTTTAGGTTAAAATTCTCTTACCTCTAACTCTTATTGTCCTTTATGGCCTTGGATTACATTCTCTCCTTAATTAATGTAGATTACTTGCTACTGGGTTGCAGATGAATTGTGCATATTTTAATTCCATAGCATGGTGCTTTGAATTCTCATCTGTCATTAAACTATCCTTAAATAAGTTGATTATATTTAGATGATAATGTGACTTAAATCTTTCAATACTTTGGAATCAAATACATATCTTTGCATCTTATTTGACTGTCATGGAAATTTAAAGACAGGTGAGTAGAACACTAATTGTCCTGGATAGTTTTATATCAACTTGACACAAACTAAAGTCATCTAAGAGGAGAGAACCTCAATTAAGAAAATGCCTCAATAAGATCGGGCTGTAGGCAAGCCTGTAGAGAGCTTTTTTCTTAACTAGTAATTGATGGGGAGTACCCAGCCCTTGTGAGTGGTGCCATCCCTGGGTTGGTAAATCAGGCTGAACAAGCCAGCAAGCAGCACTCCTCACGGCCTGTGCATCTGCTCCTGCCTCCAGGTTCCTGCCTTTTTTGGTTCCTGTCCTGACTTTCTTCAGTAATGGAACAGTTATATGGAAGTGGAAGCCAAATAAACCCTTTCCTCCTCAAGTAGCTTTGGTCATGGTGTTTCATCACAGCAATAAAAACCCTAACTAAAACAAAAGTACACATAAGAATTCAGCAAGTTAATGATACATTTGCAACTAAAAACATACTGAGAACCACCACAGGAATAGTTTATAGATCATGATGGTGTTTGCTTAATTAAATATATTGACTAAATCCTAAATATAAGGCAGATACTCTGGGGGAATCCCTGCAGGCTTTCAGGATTGCAGGGAAACAGTCCACAAAGAGACAAGAATGAAACTGTGTTCAACCTGACTTAGGCACCAATACTGGGACAAAACTTTGAGAGTCTGAAGCCAGTTCTTTAGCCATATTTAAGCACAGTGTGATCTTGGAAAAAAGTTTTCTGATAATAGTTAACTCCATCCTGTGAGTACAGAGTGTTTATATCAAAGCTTTTTACAAAATATATATGGCTTCTTTAATAGGATGGATTCTGTTGACTTAGTGTCAGAGCCTGTCAGCAGAGTGGAACAGTTCTTGAGTCAGGAGGGAGGATTAAAATTAATAAACTAACACACAACACATGGGACCTTTCCAAGAGGCTCTAGTGGAAACTAGGCTAGACCCTGGCTTTATTTTAGACTGCTTTTAAGCCAGAGTAAAAACAGCTCAGCACAAGGAGTTAAATTCACAAGGGGTGAAAACAGAGTTGTGACTTTGACAAGCTATCCCACCTGCTGTAACAAAAAGAAGATGAATTTGGAAATTCTTTACTTACTTCAGTGAAGGCCTGGTAAAACCAGTCTTTCCAGTGAGATTTAAATATCAAAGCAGCTGCTAGAACAGCAGCTCCCAACAGGTCTCCCTTTTTTATTTTTTTAAAAATTGACCATAACTTAAGAGTTATGGAGCAGAAGATTGTGCCTGTCTTAGGCTGTTTCTCTCATAAGATACATTCTTACCTATCATTTGTACATGAATTCCATCATTCATGCCCTGTCTTGGGTTGAATATATCCCAGAGAAACATTAGTCATCATTGACTACCAACCTTTGCTAGGGTAGACTCTGGGTTTTAATCTTATGCAGATCGGTTCAGCTTTAACATTCTAAAGGGCCTTCAGGAAGGTTTTAATTGTCACAGATAGGAGCACATCTCCTCTCACAAGCCAAGTCCAAATACTCCATAAAAGTGACTTAACAAATGACTTGTGTAGACACCAAGTCTGAGAGACATTCACAAGAACCATAGTAAAAGGCTGTTGAACAATCAGAACCATTTGGAAGCTTACAAATACAGTTCATTAGTTTACATTGATGGCAAGAAACTTTAGAGTTTAAATCTTATTAACATTTCCAAACAACAAAGCAAAAGGAGAATTTACATAGGCAGTTACAGGGCCTCCCAAGAGTTTCTAAAGCAAACTTGTTTTGGTCTGCTGAAAACCAGAGTCAGACCAAAGTTTCATAGTCAGTCCTCTTTTTTTATTCCTGATTTTGTTGAGAATTGTCCTCATTAACAGAACAATCAAGTCCAGTCCATTGAATAAGAGGTTTCTCTGCATGACGTCTTCTCCCAGGAGTAGAATGAAATGAAGGCAGGTCAGGAGCTTAAGTCCCATGCAGCTTTCCATTCTTAGTCAGGACAGAATTCATGATTGTCTGCAGCGGGAACATCCTCCTGGGGAACAATTCCTGCAAATCACACCAGCCTTTTTGGGATACACCTGGCTCCTTCTGCGGTCCTGTGGAAAAACACAAACATACCCTCTTCCCCATATTAATACGGGGTCGGGGCCCTGCCATATTCCAAATAATTGGATCTTTCCATTTTACTTGGGCATAATTATCTTTGGTATTAGGATGCCACAACTGATCAGCCGCAGAACGGCCTTGTATATCCACATTAAAAATTTTTTAAATAAAGAGAACATGATTAAGATTTGGGGATATGACTTCTCCTTTTTTATTTTTTGCAATTGGTTTTTAAGAGATCCATGGGCAGGCTCTATAATTTTTTAGCCTTAAGGATTATATGGCATACCCTTTTTATGATTTTTAAAAATGTTGAAATGCTTGACTAATATATGTAGTACCATTATTATTCTTTATAATGGAAGAAATATCAATTGTAGCAAAACATTTTAGTTTTTTTAATTTGGGGATATGAGTAATGTCTATTTGTTGTTTAGAATGGTTTTATATCTTTAAAATAGACAAAATATCTTGTTATTTGTTGAATTTAATTTTTTATGACCATTGAATCTTTGTAGCAGAATTAACCATTAGCTTTCTTACTGGAAACACTGAGAAGCTGCCTCTTTAATAGTTTTTTGTTTTGTTTTGTTTTGTTGTTGTTGTTGTTGGTAGGGTTGGCAGCAATAGCTATTTCTTGAGTATAAGACAGCCCAATGTCAGAACATAACCTAATATAATCAGAAATATCTCCTTTTTCCTAAAGGATCTCAAAGCTGCTTGGCAGGCACTGTTAGCATTCCCATAAGCCAATTGCTTTACTAATAATAATCCAGACTTTTCATCGCTTATAAGTCTGTATGCTGTTTGCATTAATCTTGCCACAAAATCTTGAAATAACTCATCAGGTCTCTGACAGATTTTAGTCAAATCCTCCATCTGTCTACATGATTGTGGAAGTTTATTCCAGGCCCTGTGGGCAGCAGTATTTACTTGAGCATAAATGGCCACATCAAAATCCAATTATCCTATTTCCCTGTAGATTCCTTCACCAGCAAGCATAAGTTATAGGAATTCCCTGAGCTCGATTAAGTTTAGTTGTAACTTGACATTGCTCTTCCAATTCTGACTTCCATAATAAATGATCTCCTCCTAATAAGCATGCTCTTGTTAATTGTTTCCAGTCCCCTGGGCAGAGGGCCTCAGTAGACAAGAACTCCAACAGAACTTGAGTAAATGGTGCTGTAGGACCATATCGAGAGCATGCAGCTTTTAATTCTTTTAATTGTTTAAAAGGTATAGGAGCATGGACTCGGCATATTCCCATGTCCATGTCTAGGCTGCTCTAGAACTGGAAAACCATAAAACTCAGTTATATCTTCTCCATTCTGTCTAGCTTCTTGTAAGGAAGCTTGTAAGGGAGATACCGTTGCCCGTACAGTGGACAAAGGAAAAGGTCCCCTTGTCTTCTGGGCCACTGCTACTGTAGCAGTCCCAGGAGGAGGGCTCAAACCTGCAACCAATGATGGAATTGGAGTGGGGGATTGAACCTCATTTTCCCTAGTAGTTAATTCTCCATTTTTTTTTTTGTTAATTTCCTCCAAGCCCCATTCCAATCTTTTAATTTCTTTTTGCCAAGGCTTAAGCTTTTTGACATGCATAGCCTGAATCGGAGGGTATCTCTCAGAATAATACTGATCTGGTTCTTCCTCCAACTCTGCAACCTCATCAGGATCTAAGTCATCCTCAAAGTCCTCTTCTGACAAGAAATTACTGTCTTCAGGAGGGAAATATAACTCCTCTGGAGGAGCTGATGGTCTAATATCATTTTTGTCTTGAAGCCTCCCATCTTTCTAACCTCCTTCTCTCTAAGCCTGAAAGTTTAACTTTCTCAGTTTCCTGCTGCATATACAGACTACTTTTAGTTAAGTTCCATACAAAAAACGCTAGGCTACTGCCTTGTCCCATTTTTATTTTCGGATTTACTCACCACTCACCGTGCCCTTTTTACTTAATGATTCAAGCTCATTAGCACCCTCGGTGTTCTTCATTGATCCCCTGTATCTCAAGCCCCACATTGGGTGCCAGTCTGCCAGAGCCCTCCAGCAGAGTCGAACAGTTCTTGAGTCCGGAGTGAGGATTAAAATTAATAAACTAACACACAACACATGGGATCTTTCCAAGAGGCTCTAGTGGAGACTAGACTAGACCCTGGCTTTATCTTAGACTGCTTTTAAGCCAGAGTAAAAACAGCTCAGCACAAGGAGTTAAATTCACAAGGAGGTGGTGAAACAAGAGGTGTGATTTTGACAAGCTATCCCACCTGCTATCTCAAACAAAAGGAGATGGACTTGGAAATTCCTTACTGACTTCAGTGAAAGCCTGGTAAAACCAGTCTTTCCAGTGAGATTTAAATATCAAAGCAGCTGCTAGAACAGAGGCTCCCAACAACTTAGAAGCAATGTTCAAGATAAGGGTCTAGGGAGAATGACTGAGGTAAACAATGTCTGTGGGAGTCAGGATTTGGTCTGAAGCTGAGATAACATAGAAGTCACTTAGGCTGTTGTAAAGTGCAAATGACATTTGTAAGGCTAAGTTTTACAACCTAGAAGCAATGCTCAGAGGGAAGTCTAGGATAAACAAACATAATATTCTGAGGGATATAGATGGAGCCTGGCTAAGCAGGGAGCAAAGGATCACCAGGTTATAAACTGTATTTCAGCATTCAGGAGAACAGCCAGATATCTTCTCCCTTTGGAGAGATGAGCTTCGTGTTTTACTTTTCCTGGCTTCTTCAGTGCTTATCTGTGTGCTTACCTTTTGCCTTCTACAAAATATAATCTGAAAACCAAAATTAAGGTGTTGTTTTTTCTTCAGAGGCTAAAAATGACAAAAAAATTGGCAATTGGTTAAATAGCCTTTGTAGATACTGAGTGGTGCTCACTGGGACTGGGCAGTCTGGGCCTGTGAGAGCAGGCCTTCCGGAGCTTACAGTGTGGTGGGATGACTATGCCTGGCCCCAAGCTTTCCATGCTCCACCATGTTGGAAGTGTGTTTGGCAAAGGTCTAACAATTTCACTCCCAACAGGCACAAAAAAAAAAAAACCAAAACAGGCTAGAAAGATTACCCACCAAAATACTGATGAATCCAGAGCCGTCCCCCTGAACTTCGGCAGCTGTGAACACCATTGCATCCACCTTGATCACATCTTGCTACCCAGATACTGACACCCCAAGTCCCGAGGAATTTTCAGAAGAGAGAACAGAATGTACTGCACACACAGACATTGCACAGAGACATTTAGACACTTACTGCCGGCATAAAAACCTCCAGATCAGGTTCCTGGAGTCTTGGGATCCCTGACAAGCCCCCAAAATGTTCTGCCCAGTTCACGAACCCCAAAAGACCAGGAATAAATAGACTCCGCTGTAAATACATGAAGTTCTTTTTATTATAAATCATTACAAGCTGCACCTTGGGCCCACCCCCCACATACACTGCAGTGAGAGCTGAGAGGCTTGTGCTCAGGTTAGTTGGGTGATTTAAAGATTCTGGTCCCTCCCAGCATGCCCAAGGCAGGGGCAATTCCTGCCTAGCAAGCATCTATTGGTCAAAATGCTACATTTTGAATTAGCTATAGGAAGGTTCCCAGACCATTAATGATCTGGTGTCCCTCCCTAGGGGGGTGGGCCAGTTTCCTAGCAACTGTATCTCTAGTGGGTGGGGAAAGAATACAATAAGGCGGGTTCTTCCCCTCGGGGCATTATTGGACTTCTCCACCCACCTAGTTCAGGCCTTAAATATTAATAATAACTGCTGATTTTTAACCTTTTGGTCTCTCAGTACATCTAGGAAGTTCGTGGAGGTTGGAGACTAGTGTATAGCAAGTCACTGTACAGGAACTGAAGCTAAGGGAAGATGCTACACCCTACTTGTTACTGGGCTCTGCAAATAAGCACTAGGAAGTAGCCACTCTTGAAGAAATCAGATTGGTCCCATATAAACATTAATTTTCATGTCCATAATTCATAGTGGGAGCAGACAGGGAGACAATTTAGATTTCTCCCAAGCTCTTTCTTAGACTGGATCCTAAGAGGGAAAAAAAAAAAAAAAAACTCATGAGAGAAATGGGGTTTTCCTGTGCAAATGCTGGGAACAGTAAGTAAAGCTTGTAAGGGAGTCCTAGGGAGAGCCATATGGTATCATGGACTTCATGTCAAAAGGATCACTACAGTTGTTTTCATCTTTGAAACAGTCTGGCTTGAACTCAGTCTGTTGCCTCTCTCTGCTTTCTGAGTGAATTACAGTTGTACAGCCACCACATACGAGCACACACACACACACACACACAGGTGCAAAAGGCTACCCATAAGCTATTCATTCCCTGATGGCTTTCACTAGCCCCAGCAGAAATAAATCTGATAAATGGAAGCTTCACTACTTCCATAAGTTTGGAAGACATGTCTCCTCCTAGCTATGCTAGGCAACCAGTGTGGATGCCTTTCCACCAGCAACAGGAGTGACATTCCTGGTTCCACCCGCTTCACTTACTGGGACCTTACTCAGGGCATTTCACACATCAGTGCCTGTTTCCTCATTTGCTAATGGTGCAAACCTAAGTTCTTTGGATTCTGTTAGATAATAACACAATCTTGGGAAATAACCTGTTAGTGCTAAATGCTATTTTATTATCATATATTGGAAACCTGAAGTCTGAATTTTCTAGCAGGCCATCCAGAACCCACAAGCACCTAAGAGAACCACTAAGCGCCCAAAGCAAACGTCTTAGAGGAAGGTATATAATGAAGGCTATGCCACACACTACCTGCTGCAGAAACTTCCAAGGCTAGTGTGCATTCTCAACCACACCATAATGTGGGCTTTTAGTTTATTTTGCTGTTGTTTTGGGGTGAGGGTTGTTTTGTTTTGATTTTATGTTAGGAATCAAGCCAGCAGATGCTAGTGTCGCTGTGCTATGACCATCCCTAGCTCTCACCTTGAATCTGTCTTGTCCAGAACTGATCAGTGAGTCTATACAGATATGTTAATCTGCCAGTTCAACCTTCCATCGCTTTCCTATCACACACAAAACAAATCCACTGCTCCTACCATGGCTGTCAAAACCTCAGAGTCACACTCCATCTTGAACGGTCATTCCTTTTCCCTGGCGGTGAGGCTGGCCTCACTGAGCATCAAACACACTAAGCTAATTTCCCAGGAAAGCCAAATCTCCCCACCCCTGTGTGCTCCGTGACCCCTTCACACAGCTTTACTGTCCTGACACTCTGGTGTTTTCTGTTTGATGAACTACCTTCCCTAGTCACACCAACCCTCTGGTGCAGAATTCATTCACTGTTTCTCCACCATCTGCATAGTGCCTGGACCTGTGTGCTCACTAAGTGAGAGAATGACATCTTTAAAGCTTGGGATGGAGTCACTGACATTGCGTCCTAAAGGGCGACCAGGAAAGCCCCAAGTGCCAATCTTCAGATCATATTTAATTGAATTTGTTTCACTTTTTTTTTTTTAAACTAACAACAACGTTGCTTCGTGAGTACTTACTACACATTCAGAGGCAACTAGATATCTCCAAGGGAAGGCTCTGGTACATCAACCCATACTCCCTGACCCCAGCAAAATACAGTAATCATAAGTAAATCCAAATTTCTCTAAATACCATCCCGCGGTCCCAGAGAGACTTGTTGACCTTGTTGAGACTTCCAGGGCCTTCGCTCCTGTCCCTTCCACCTCTTATCCCCGCGCGTCCCCGCGGCAGCCTCGCCCTATTTCCCCGCACCCCTGCCACCGCCATCTCCACTGCACTCAGGCACCACCGTGCGTCCCCCGCCGGCTGCAGCATGGGCCGCCTGTCGAGAGCGCGATGCTGACAGTCTTTCCAGCCCTTTCCCTGCCGTTCGACCCTCCTACGCAGTTCCTGGACTTTCCCTGGCTTTGGTCGCAGGTCGCAGCATTGCGCTCCCCTGGGATAACAGCATCCCGGGCCCGATTTCACCGCGGAGTCTCAAGTAGTCTCCACCAAGACAGGACCGCGTCTGTGGCCTGCGCTGAGCGGATTGGTGAGTCTGCCCGGCGGAGGCTTCTGGGAATTGTAGTTTAAGCCCACAAATCCACCCTGCGCAGGCGCACTTCATCACTTTTTACCTTTAAGTCTCTTTCTGGGGAAAGGATTCCAGAAACCTGAGTACAGCCGCACCGAGGTCTGTAGGAATCAAGCTCTTCGGATCCCGGAGCAACGCGCAGGCGCGGTTCCGCTGAAGGCTGCAGGCTCCAGCTCATTGTGTCCTGACTGCTCTGTGGCGGCGCTGCTCTGTCGCCGCGGTGGACTCACCTCGAAAGGCAGCCCCGCGGTGACCAGCAGCGTCCAAAGCCGAGCTGGACAGGGACGGTCAGGTCTGGGAGTCAAGACGGAGGGGAGACCGAGCAAGGGTGGGTTGCGGTCCGTTTTAGAGGACATGGATCCCATGCCCTTAACTTGGCAGCGAATGTACTGAGATTTGTCTCCGCACAGAAGGGACCGGCAGATGGGTCTGTGGTGGAGCTGAGAGATAAGAACCCCGACTGCATGTGGAGAAGGGCGGGTCCGGACCTCTAGCATGTCTTGGAGCAGACTCAGGAAGACATTTGTACCCAATTGATGGGTATATTCCCGGTGATGCTCCAAGTCCTGTCTGAGGAACTTGAGAACAGGACAACTGCAGCACGGCCCCTGCACTTGACAGAGCGGTGGTACACACACACACACACACACACACACGCACGCACGCACGCACACACACACACACACACACACACACACACACACCCCTCCTCATACCCCTACTCTCACAACACACAGAACTCCAGGTCACTTCACCGAACCCAAAGAAGGGAGAATCCTGAGGCCACAAGAGTTTTGTTTGCAAGATTTCCAAGGTGAAGAAGACCTGGCCGGCTTAGCCCCCTTCCCTTTTCAGGAGAAAACATCGACTCTCTTCCCTCCTCTTTTCCTCTCATCAGGATCAAGCTGTCCAAGGGGGGAAAAGAATGTCTTAAGACTTCAAAGCATAGCTTTGGGGCAAAGGACAAAGGATGGGAGTATTTGAGAACTGTGGCTGGGGTAAGCCTTCTGCGAAGTGACACAGAACGGGAAGATATGGAGGACCTGACTAAAAGAAAGATGCAGCGGAGAAATGGCACGGTGAGCAGGTCACTTTACAGATTAGGGAAGGACAAATGCCTTCAGAAGCGGTAGGGAACGGGTAGCAAACAGACCAAAGAATTCGTTGGACACCCGGATGTGAATGTTCTGGCGCACTCCCTGTGACCTTTGACCTTGCCGTCTCATCACAGGTGAGCCCATGCTTCTAGCCTGAGAAATCCCAGTTGGAAAGCTGCTCACCCGCCTCCTCTGTGCCTGGTGGTCCTTCGCTCACCAGAGAAGAAGGGATGGCTGTCAGCCACCTCCCAGCCCAGGTCCAGGTGAGTGGGGAAGGAGTGTTGTGAGCGGTAATCGTCCAGTGTGGTGCCCGGCACCCCAGTTCTTGACTTGAAGGATGTGAGACTGTTTGCTCTAACCAGAAGCTTTCCTCTCGCCCCAGTCTGCCCCAAACACCTGACCCCAGCTGCTGCCTCCCACCCCACACTTTATCATGGTGAGCTTTGGAGCTTCCTGTAGTTGTGTGGGCGGCACAGCTGGGCAGGGATCTGGATTAGTATGGAATGAAAACCTTTCCACTTTCTAGTAGCCAGTGAGATGGGAATCCAAAATGGTAAAGATGGGATCTGACGTAGGAGCCAAAAGAAGGAATTCAAACTTTTTTCTGTGAACGTGGGGTTTCCTAGACAACTTTTATTTATTTATTTATTTATTTACTTACTTACTTATTTACTTATTTATTTATTTTGAAGATAACATGTAACTTTTGCTTCAGGTGAATATTTAATAGCAGTAAAAATATTTGAAGAACTCTAATCCTACAGGTTAGGAGTATAGCTTTGTGGTAGAGCACTTGGTTGGCATAGATTAGGCTCTAGGTTCAGTCTACAGCACTACCCCACACACACTCACACACACTCAGGTACACATTCACACTCATACACACACTCAAACTCAGAAACACATACATTCACATGCAATCATACAGTCACACTCACACACACACACACAACCAACACTCAACACATGCTCATACACCCACACACACCTACCTACACACACATTCACACACACACATTTACACACACACAAACTCACACGCACAGTCACTCACACACACACACCCACTCACAGAGCTGGGCATGGTGGCTCATATCTGTAATCCCAACATGTGCCAGGCTGCAGCAGGAAGACTGAAAACTGAAGACCAGCCTCGGCTGCAGGGAGAGTCTGGCTCCGTAGGGCTCAGAGCTCAAGAGTTCTAAGCCCTTTGCTTTTAAGTCTTTAGCTTTCTGGGAGGTGACAAGCTGGGTGAACCGCCAACCAGTCCTAGCTTGGGGGCTGCTCGTTCTCCTTTTGTCTTTGTTTTGTTTTGTTTGGGGTTTTGCTTTTGTTTTTTAATCAAAAGGGCTTTATTTAGAGGGTAAAAGGTCAAGACTGGGAGGCCATGTGTAGCAAGAGCTCTGTGCGGTGTCATATATAGCAAACAGTACCAGGAGTCAGGAAAGAGAAGGGTGTGGGGAGTGCTGCATGGTGAGAGGAAACGGGAGTGTCCAAGGTTCAAATTCACTTCCTAACAACCTGCTGCTCGTAATAGCCACTGCAATCCAGGGAGACCTGCCCGTTTCTCCCATTCCCACAAGATGTGCCTTGAACCCTAAATAGAACGGAGCTCCAAGGACCTTCTCATGTGCCGTGTAAGCTCCACGTCTTAAAGGTTCCCCTCCTGCCCACACATGAACCCTGGCTGACAAGTATATGGCCCTCGGGGGGTGAACCATATCGGAGGCATGGCAGTGAAACACTGTTTATGTCGCATACAGGTAATTTGCAGAATAGCTTAGGGGTATAAAATGTGCCAGGTCTGTGAGCTTTATTAGAAACCGGAGATGAGTGACAGTTCTTGATAAATCCATTCATGGGGTCACTTGAGCCAGTGCCTCTTGGCTCCTTCCTGTGCACCCAGGCTTCGGGTACAGTTATCTTAAGCTAAAGCAGGCACTTATCAGAAGGATACTGAACTGCCTCCCCACATCCAAACGCAAAAATACAACTAGACCTTGGCTGTGGAAATATACCTATAGTCCTTCCTCTTAGATCCTTTGCTTTGTTTACGGGGCTTCCTCTTGACCCTTCTTCCTCGGTGCACACTAGGTCCCTGGCTTCATAGCTTAGAAGACCAGTGTACAAGGTGCTGTTTTCCATGCTAGATTTCAGGTTCCTGAGAGAGATTTTGTTTGTGTTCAGAATTTCCAACGAAGGGATGAGTTATAATCAGAGAAGACATGGTGTCGTGGTACAGAATGATTACTTCTGTGTGTGTGTGTGTGTGTGTGTGTGTGTGTGTGTAAAGATACACATGTGGTGTACACTCACACATGTGTTGGAGTGGACAGATGAGCAGTTGAAGACTTACTGAAAACAACGGTCATGTGCCACTGAGAGCCATGGTGGGTTCTGAGGAGCGCATCATGAAGCTGTTTCTTCTTTATTCGAACACACAGAGGGTATTTCTGCAAACCTAGATGGTCTCGGTCAACCATTCAACCCAGCCGCCGAGTGTGCATGAAACACGTGAAGTTGCTGCTGGTGAAATATGGCATAATGTCCCACAATAAAGCCTCGGGTTTACTGGTACTCAAAAATGGTGATTTAAAAAGGGTACGATAAGTGTATCAATGTTGTTTAATTATCAACTGTTAGCCTGTACAATACTGTGTGCACAATGCTTTAATACTACTGCCAGTGCTGTTTGTTTATCGAAGCCACCATCACCACAAGCACGGAAGTGTGTGTTGTGCTGATGTGTTACACCAGCTATATCAGAGCTGTAGAGAGAGATGGGAGATGTCGTGGGCAAAGTGAACTGGCGCACAACCTCACTGCTTCTTTCCAGTTGGTGTCAAAGTTGGGGATGAAGTATACTCTCAGCACAAAGCTCAGCCACTAGTCGATGCTGAGGAAATGCCTGGCTTACCCCTGAACACCAGCTTCCAGCTGGTTAATGGTCCCCCGTGAGCTGCTGGGATAGCCATTCTCGGCTTTCCTGCGGTATCCCCTGGCTGATAAGAAATGGTTCTCTGTTCCAGGACTTGGTGACCTTCAAGGATGTGGCTGTGCTCTTCACCCAGGAGGAGTGGGGGCAGCTGAGCTCTGCCCAGCGAGCCTTGTACAGGGACGTGATGCTGGAGAACTACAGCAACATGGTCTCGCTGGGTGAGCTGGACACCCCAAAGCTTCACCTTCGCAGAATGTGAATTGGGCGGGGGTTGGGGTCGGGCTCGCTGATGCTGCTGTCTTCTCTCCTATCATGTGTCTATCCTGTTGGTGTCCCCCGAGCTCTGTTGAAGTCCTACCTAAAGATGTGTTACAAGTGAGAGGGGCATGGGAACAGACTCCGTCTCGGGCACCAAGCCATCTTGTCCTAGCCCTTGCAAACATGCTCTCCTTCCTGTCTAATCACTATTTCCAGAAAGTTCTGAGGACCAGGTCTCATCTTTACGATGACTTTTATCTCAATTTTAAGAAGATAAGTCATAATTTTTTTTCTTCCTCCTTGAAAAACAGGACTCTTGGGGTCCAAACCAGATATGTTTGTTCACCTGAAAAAAGCAGAAGAATGCATGTCAGAGGATGCTCCAGAGGGCTTTGTTCTTGGTAAGAGTCATACATGTGGTAGACACGGGGAGGATCCCAGTTGGTGGAAGTAGGCGTGAGGTCTCAGCAAGTGTGACAGGCCTGGACCACATTGCCCCGGCATGCATTTCCAAACTGACATTCATCATGAAAGTCTGTATATGTCTGAGCCCTTTTTTCTCTCCTCATTTTGCATAAATTAGCAGAAGCTGGAGGAGTGGTCAGCACCCAAGAGTGCTTGCCCTTCTTCCAGAAGACCCAGCTGCAGTTCCGAGCACCCACACTGGACAAGCTCACATTGCCTGGAACTTCATCTCCAGGGCATCTTTATCTGGTCCCCACAGGCACACTGCACATAGATTCATACACATCAATGAAGGCAAATCTATAAAAATTAGCCCTCTGTGTAGAGTGGTCTGTCTTAAGTCCAACGTACAGGAGCCTTCTGGGCTTCTCTAGCGAGGAGCCTTCTCGGTACTCTGGAGGCAGTTTTGGGTTCACTGAAGCGCCTCTTTTTCTAATGAAGCAACCACTCATGTCCTCACCTCCCTCACCTCCCTTTAACCAGATGGAGGTATATTCAACCTCCTTTAACTGCCATCCTGTGCCAGGCTCTGTGCTTGGCTACAGGTGCCAGAAGAGACAGGGTTGTCGTACACTTTGCTATATTGCCCACACCTAGTGTACTGTGTGGCTGCCAGTGAGACTTGCTGCCCGGGATGGAGAGAAGCTCAGTAGCTGTTGCTTGTCCTGAGAAGTCCCCTGGGGCCCATGACTCAGAGATGGGGATGTGTCTTTCTGCTACTTTGAAGTATTTGAGTAAGCTTCATACCTTACCTGAGATGCTGTAATATTGCACTTTCTTGTACTGTGTTACAGGCCGTAAAATAGCTCTTTTTTTCTTTTGAGACAGAGTCTCTACATAGCCCTGGCTGTTCGGGAACTCGCTATGTAGACCAGGCTAACCTTGAACTCACAGCGATCCCCCTGCCTCTGCCTTCTGAGCGCTGGGATGAGAGGAGTACACCACCCCACTTGACCTGTAAAGTAACTCTCAAGACCTCTTATTACTCTTTTCCCACTCTAATCTAGTGGAATAGGCAGAGGTTTATATTTTATAGTTAATAGCTACCCATCGCAAATCTAGGAGCCGGTGTTTGATGGAATTTAACTATAACTCAAAATCGCAGTTATTTTTAAAAAAATGTATAACTTATCACTGATGTAGCTCAGCGGGAGAGCATGCGTGAGGTCCTAGATTCCATCCCCACTACAGGGAAATGAAGAATTAACTCACCTCTATGGAATAGTCCATGCATTTGGTGTTCTTTGACAACCAAAGGCCTTAACTCACCGAGTCATCTTACCGGTCCGTCAGTTTCCGATGTTTTAAGTACTGATCCTGACCTCAGATGACAGGTCACAGTCAAAATTCAGACACTGAAACTAGGCTATACACACACAGCCTTAGGTGGTATAAGTTGAACATAAACGTAAGGGGTTCATGGTTCGTCTTAAGTCCCCTCCCAAAGATACATCATTATGCAGACATTCCAAAATGGAAAACACGATAGCGAAACACCCTTTTCCCACTCCTATTATTTCAGACAAGGGCTCCTCAGCTGTCTTGGATGAAAACTTTTCCATTCTTATGCCCATTACTCTTGGCTTAGCGTAGACAGTTATTATTTAATTATTATACACGGCGTTAGGTTTCATTATCGTATTTCTCAACCTCTTCTATAGCCGGGCTTTTCAGACCCACCAACAGTTTTAATAAGACATGAGACTTTTTACTAATGTTTAAAGCTTAGGCCCTTTGCTGGGCAGACTCCTGTCTAACTTATCCTGACCCTGCTGGCCCACGACCTGCTACGTGGCTAGTTCTTTAGCTCTCTGCTCAGCCCCAGTACGTCTGTTCCTTTCCGCATCCCTGGCAAATCTCATGTTTGGCATCTTCCTCCCAGAGTCCCTCCCTCTCCTGGAAATTCTGCCTCCATCTTCCTGCCCAGCTATTGGCTGTCAGTTCTTTATTTAAGCCAATCGGATACAATTCTAGATTGCCTTAGGCAGGTGAGAAAGAAACAGATATTGACAGAATATGAGAGCAGAGATGGGCCATAGCTTTCTGCCAGTGCAGAATTAACAATTGAACAGAGTCACACCTTCACACAGTGTACCCCAACACTCTTCTACCCCATCCCTCTGACTTTCCCCACACCTCCCTGCCCCCCCCCCACCTCCTTTTCACTTTTATATTGCATACATCCGATTGCCCACTTTGTCTCAACATTTCCTTTGCCCTGTTGTGGTCTCCTTTCTTGTTTCTTCATAGCCTATACCCACACTCACATACAACCTATAGAACTATTACAAACTGGATGTCATGAGTGAGAACATGTAAGTTTGTTTGTTTGTTTGTTTGTTTGTTTGTTTGTTTGTTTGAAACAGGATTTCCCTGGCTCTCCTGGAACTCACTCTGTAGACCAGGCTGGCCCTGAACTCAGAGGTCCACCTGCTTCTGCCTCCTGAGTGCTGGGATTAATGGTGTGAGCAACCACTGTCCTATAGAATTTTCCTGAGTCTGTGTTACCTCCAATAATATAATACATTCCTTATCCTCCCATTTTCCTGAAACTTGCATTTTTCTTTGTGGTTCCATGAGATTCACTGTGTATATTTACCCCATTTTCATTATCATTACCTGTTGATGGACGTACATCCAAGCTGGTTCCATGTTCTTGCTGCTGTGAATTAAGCATGGATGGGATGTGGTAGGACACAGAGTGCTTTGGGTATCTGTTCAGGTATGAGATAGCTGGGTCCCCTGGCAATTCTATTTTTAATATTGTTTGAGAAATCTCCAAACTGGTTCCCACATGGCTGTACTTGACACTCCCAGCAGCAGCAAACAAGGCTTTCTCTTTGTTCACATCCTTGCCAGCATTCCTTCTTAGGCACTTATTTTTAATCATAGAAAGACAAACATTATGATACATGGCTTTGCTTTTTACGTTTCCTATCCTCTGGGCCACAAGCTGACAGAGAGAACTGACAGTTAAGTATTGCACAGGGTGGTCTGGGGTGATGTCCTTCAAAGCATGAGTGATGGATGCCCCCTGCAGCTAACCCCACCCAGGGAAGATAATGAGTTTGGACTGCTGCTGCTCTTGGATGGAAGGTTAGCATTAGCACAAACCCAACTGACCCCAAAGCTGTTGCATCTGCTTCCTTTTCCACATTAATTGGGTCCCAAGGAAACTACCAGACCTCTTATCTCAAGAAGCTGCTAGTCATTTTCATGCTTCCTCCCTCATTTATTAATGTCTTATACCTTTTAGCTTTCAATTCTCTTTCTTGATCTGTGTATAACTATTCAGAGTTTCATCTATAATTTTATGTGTGTGTGTGTGTGTGTGTGTGTGTGTGTGTGTGTGTGTGTGTGT